GACTGCTCTGGGTACCTTATGTGAGTGGAATCATACAGTATTTGTTCTGGCTTTCTCCCTTAACAGAAGAATGTCCTCAAGGTTCATCTGTGTTACAGCATGTGTCAGAGTTACCCTCCCCTCTTTTTGTACTGGAGATTGAACCTAAGGTTTTGCATATGCTTAGACAAGCTCTCTACCACTGAACAACACCCCCAATCCTTTTCAGGATTTTTTTTTTATTTTGAGACAGAATCTCACCTAGTATCCCAGGCTGGTCTTAAACTTACAATCTTCCTTACCTCAGCCTCCCAAGTAACTGGGATTACAAGGCATATGCCACCGTGTCCAACTCGACTTTCCTTTTTAAAGCCAAAAATACTCCATTGTATGCATATGCCACACTTCGTTTATCCATTCATGCCTTTATGGATCCTTGAGTTGCTTCCATATTTTAGCTATTGCGAATAATGTTATTAGGAACTCAAGTCCCTCTTCAAATCCCTGCTTTCAGTTCTGTAAGGTGTATACATAAGAGTGGAATTGCTGGATCAAATGGTAATTCTGTGTTTAAGTTTTTGAAGAATTTTTTAAAAACCACTGTGGTTCTTGAGATAAAAAAGATGTGACCTGAGCACCAGTGTGGGTTCACCAGGACCCAACTGGTCTTATCCCCACTTCTCCCCTTTGCATCGGAGAATCGATTTGCAGAGCCTTGAGATTGTGGCTGCTAAGCAACAAACTGTGGAAAGGCGACCTGCTAAACCCTTGGCTGGCTGTAGCCCTGGATTATAGCGCCTTGGGCTTTGACCAGCCTGCTCTCCTTCCTGCCCCTTACTGGGTGGGTTAGTGTTCACCTGATAGGAAGGACTTCATCTCCATCAGCCTCCCACCGAAAGCCTGCTGCTTTCCATGTTTGGGTTCAGTTTGGAGTGGAAGGTGCAGCTGATGTGACCCCCCCAGTTCCTTAGTCCTGCACAGAGAGATTTTCCCACTGAATATTTCTGGTGGAGCAGGGAGACAGATTGAGCCCCAGCTTTGGCTGTGGTCTTTGGGAGATTGAAGCTTTCAAAATCTCTCAATGGTGTGGTTTAATAATATGGTTTATAAAAAAAAAAAATTTAAAAAATATGGTTTATGCTCAAGAGGAGGGGGCCTTCGTATTGTTTGGGACCACTTTGTATAGTTTACAAGCCATGTGAGAAAGCAGACCATGTGTTGGTCAGAACAGGGACATTGGTGGGCTTTTTACCCACCCCACCTTACCCCATCACATTTGTACTGGGTGGGCTGGGGAGGTAAAAGGAAGGGTAGCAAGTGTGGATTAGAGGCACCTGGGTGGGCTGAGACGGTGGGCTGAAGCCCTCAGATGGAACACAGCAGGCATGAATGGGCCTCTGGAGATAGATAATTATACAGGTACTCATTTGAGATCTGGGCAGAGTAGGCACACACTGTTGGTTTTCAGTTCCTGGGGACTCTCATAATCACTCAGCAGTCTGGCTTTGAAGTGTGATCCCTTCAGTCTCACCTGGTGGGGGTGAAGTGCCCACATCAGTTGATGGGCCCACTTGACACTTGCTGGATACTTGATTCTCCGATCAGGTTTTAGCCCTGAGGTTGCTAAACCATCACATTATTTTACAAACATGGAATCTTGAAGTTCCTCTGGGGTGAGCCCAGGGACCTCAAGTGTGACTAAAGTTCTTACTGAGTTGCTTGTCTACAGGTGTTGATTTGACCTTGGGATGTGTCAGTGGTGACAAGGAAATCAGGGGCAGCACTCAGATACAAGGTTTGTGTGGGCTTCTTTAAAGATTTCACCAGGAAGCTGAGTGTGGTAGTACATCCCAGTAATGCCAGCACTGGGAGACTGAGGCTGGAGGATTGCAATTTCAAGTGCAACCTGGGCAGCTTAACAATTTAGCAAGTTGGGATTGTAGCTCAGTGCAGAAATCTTGGATTCAACCCCCAATCCTGGTTGGTGGGGGTGGAATTATCAGAAAAAAAGTAAAAGTATTTCAAGGTTCTTCGACTGTTTAGTGAACATTTGTGATTCTAGGCTACTTTAAAAGCCGGATGCAGAGAGGCAAGAGTGGGAAGGGGCGCACCAGCTGAGGAAGGTGTTGGAAAAGACTAGCCTGGTTGGAGGTGAGGGTAGTGGTAGGTCCTTCTCAGATGGTAACAGTGACAGTTTAGAGCTTACTGGGTCTTTATCACTTACCTAGTTCACATGCATGATTTTTTAAAAATTTATTTTTTGTGGTGCCAGGGATTGAATCCAGGGCTTTGCACATGCTAGGCAAGTGCTCTGCCACTGAGCTACAGCCCCAGACCTCACACACCTGATTTTAACATCAGAAAACTGAAACTTCAGTGGCCAGCCCTGTCTCACACAGAGAACTGGCAGCTGGGGTGGGGACCAGAACCTCACATCTGAGAAATTCATCACATGCCTCTGAAAACCACCCACTTGCCCTACGTGTAGGATGAGTCTTGAGTTAAGGAAACCATTTGGATTCCTCACCTGAAAGCAGAAACCCACACCCAAGGCCTGGGTAGCCTTTGGAAGAAGCTCCATGTGATGAGTAAGCTTTCAGTAGAAGCTACTGTAGTGTGTTACAGATTTGGAGTGAACATGAAGGCTGCTGTTTTGTTTTGTTTTGTTTTGTTTTGTTTTGTTTTGTTGTATTGTGTTGTGTGTTAATCTGTGATTCCCTGAAATAGAAGCTAAAGTCAAGCCCATTTTGGGGGTTAGGTATAGGGTTAGGCTTCTGCATTAACAGGGTTTTGCATATTTTCTGCAGCTTTCCCTGGAGATGCTGAGAGGAAGCTGACTTAGTCTTCATAAAATCTTGGGAGGAAGAGACAGAACTTGTCTTTGGTCTCACACTGTTCTGCTAGAAGGCAAAAGCCAAAAGCCATCAGAGTAGAGCATCAATAGTCAGGGTTGTAACCTTGGTACCCAGAGCACCCTGATGGCTAAGGAGACAAGAGTCCTTTGAACGGCTTTTTGGGGGGACTTGGTAGAAGCCCACCTTGTTCTTGTCTTGCTGCCCTGGCTACTATTTGCAACTTAGAACACACCACACCTCATGGTAGCATCCTCCTGTGGACACACATAGAAAGAGGCAGACCTTGGCCTGGCCTTTGTAGTCATCAGCTGTGTGCAGACACTTGGGACATACTGCAAGTCAGCACTGTGACAAATGCCGATCAGGAGGCCTAGTGGGTCTTGCCCTGGACATTGGCTGGAATCCTGGGAAGTCCTTACAGCCACAAGGCCCAGTGCCAGTGGTGGTCCAGAGCCACTGATGTGCCCCCAGAGTTTTGGGTTTGGAAGGCATGTATTGGGCCCAGCTGTGTTTATTTTCTAAGCTCCGCATATAATAGTGACATGTAGCCAGGGCTGGGGACACTTGTTAGAGAGCGATGACTCCTGCTGTGACACAGGTCTGAGAATGTGGGGGAGGCAGAGGTAAACATAGAAACTGGGACATTGACCTCCCTTGGGTACTCACAGCTGGAGGCAGCACTTAGCCTACAGTCCCTGCAGCCATACAGTTTCTTCTCAGCTGCCCTTGTGGAAATCCCTGTCAGGATTATTGGGTCAGCTGTTCCACAAGGCAGAGGGTGGCCCCGTGCTTACATGACCTGGATGTTTGGTGGCAGTTATGAATTCAACGATTTACCACCTGTAGTGGTGACCATCAGGCAGGGCTACTTGCATGGTCAGAATGAAATGTGCTCTTTGGGATGATTGCTTAGAAATCCTGCAGGCCACGAAGGTGCCCTTTGGAAAGAGTGGAAAACAGATCATCACGAGAGGCTGGGAATCTCCTGGGCCTTTGTGGGCTGATGGGTCTATAGTGAGGGGTCCCCTAGATTGGAAAACTGACTCTCAGTGGGGTATGGGGAGCTGCAGGTGGCCAAGGGCTTTGTCATTGAGCCTGGAAGGAGGGGTTCATTGTCTTCAGGTGTCTTCGGGAAGAATGTAACTAGACAGTTCCAAAGGGCAGGTAAACCCGTGTAGAATAAGCTACTCTGTTCTCATGGGTCACTTTGATTGGGGAAAAGGTGGTCTGGGAGTTCGGCGGGCTGACTGAGAGGTGGGCTGTGAGTCTGCTGAGGATGGGCTGCAGCCGTGGTTCTCTGGGCTGGGACTGGCAGGCTACAGGGGAATCACTGTTTGTGGTGGTCAGTGCTTGCACTCAGGCCAGCATACCAGCCTGTGGTCTCAGGCTAAGAAGCACCCATACATGGCCAGTGTTCCAGCCTTCTTGTGTGTTTCTGCCTCTCCCAGGTTCTCACACCTTACATGTCCCCAGGCCCTGGCTGCTATTCACAGTCATCTGGAGATCCTCAAAAATGCAATGTAGCTTGGCCTAGCACAGACTCGCTGAATCCAAAGCTGTAGGGGTGACCTGGGCCCTGGTGACTCAAAGAGCTTCTAGGAGATTCTAGCAAGTGGCCCAGGCTGAGAACCATTGGGCTGCCCAGTCTTGTGTGTGGCACTGTACTGCCTGCTACACTGACCCACAGTGTGTCTCAGGTGTCTACATATAGCCACTGACCACAAAGGCCAGTGCCTCTCTGTTACATATCCACAGGAGGACCCACCAAGAAGCTTTGTTCAGATTGCAAGTAGTAGCCAGGATGGGGAGACCCCCAAGAGCAGATGGGGCGCCTGCTGAATTTCCCAACAGTCTGTACCAGTGACCCTGGTCTTCTTCATCACATCCCCACAAACAGGTATAGAAGGACCATTCCTGACAGCAAGCAATTGAAAACCCATTCTTGTATTGTCTGGGGAGTGAGCTGCACTGGATTCTTTCCTCACCCTTGTGAGGTCTTTGAGCAGTCTGTTGTGAAGATGGTGTCAGCCTGTCCGATGTCCCTGTGAGACAGAGACAGTACTAGCCTGGGTGCTTTCTTGGACAAGTGGAGTGTGGGTGCTTCTGAACAGACAGCTCCCAGCGCTCTTTCCTATCTCTGATAACAGGCTGCTTCTTTACACACAGATGCCTCGTTTGGAACACCACCTGGATACAGCTGCGCCGCAGACCGGGCTGAAGAGCAGCGCCGGCACCAAGATGGGCTGCCATATATCGATGACTCACCCTCCTCCTCCCCCCACCTCAGCAGCAAGAGCAGGGGCAGCCGGGATGCTCTGGCCTCAGGAGCCCTGGAGCCGACCAAAGCAGTGAGTCCCTAAGATGCACCTGTCCCGTGTGGATCAGGTGTGAAATGGAGGTGGGGAGGTGGATCAGCTGGGCTCTGGGCCAGCTTTTGTCTTCCTGGAGGCGCTCGGAAGTGCAGCCAGTTGTTCAGGGGCATAAGCACAGGGGTGATAGAGTTGCCAGGGGTTTGGTTTGAAAGTTGGACAAATTTCCAAAAACTCCGTCCTCATCCCTGCATCTGGTAAAAGGAGAGTCTGCTAGATGCCTTTATCAAAGAGTCTGTGAGACACTTTTTAAGCTGATCCTGAAGGAGGCAGGCACCTTCTGGTCTTGAAGCTGAGGATACTCATGCCAGAGGCCACCACCTGTGTACTTCCATGGTGGCCCCAGCCATGGTGCTGTGCTGGGCCAGTTTCTGGGCCTCTGATACTGTTCTCTAGAAAGTCTGCTTGCTCCTTTTTTAACAGAGGAGGTCCTAATGATGGCACCATCTGTTTGATCAGGATCTTTCTCATGAGTTCTCACTTAACCCTCATTATGATCCTGTGGAATTGGCATTGCTGTCACCTCCACGTTGCTGTTGTGGAACTGAGGTCCAGAGGTGGCTTCCCCAAAGTCTTGTGGCTAATGAGTAGTGGAACATTTAATAGATGCTCTGCCATGCATTCCAGTTGGGGCCCCCATGGGGGACATAGCCCAAGAGCAGCTGCATGCTGGGCAGCGTGTTGTAGCAGAGGCAGTGGGTCTACTCAGGCCTTGGAGTGTTATGATGCTCTCAGTGGTGCATGGCAGGGGGCAAGGGATGGAGGGTGTTCCCTTAGTGCTTTGGGGGTCCAAAAGTGTTCTTCCTGCCTTTAGGGCAAGGGCATCTTCCTTTGACCTCTTGGGTTCCTTTCTTCCTGGGTTAAGAAGATTGACACTGCCTCAAAGCAGTTGCTCCTTTTTGTCTTTTTGGCCTTTTTTGTCTTTCTGGTCTCTTTTTGGCCTCTGATAAACCATAGCTTCCCCCTTCTGCTTAGTTTCTTTCTGGAAGGGTCTCATCCTGGGTTTAAAAACAAGAATCAGAGAGGGGCGAGACGTAGCTCAGTGGCAGAGCATAAGTTTAGCATGCATGAGACCCTGGGTTCAACCCTAGCACCACATTTTAAAAAAAAGAAGAGAAGGATGTGCTTTTCCCAGTGCTGTGAAGTGCTCTCTTCACTGCTCGTGCTTCTCTCTGGGGCCTGACACCGTAGCTACAGGACTGCTTCCTATTTGTGCTGTTTGATTTCTCACTGTCTCAGTGCTGGGCGGGATTCTCAATATGAAACATGATAGGAGAGGAAGCCAGAGTGTATTGCATGCCTGGCCTGTGCCGCACACATGTGCTGCTATCTTGTACTGCTGCTTGTCCCGTGTCTGGTATCACCATTCCACACATTAGAAACCCAATTTCGGAGAGGCAAAGACACTTGTCCAAGATCCCATAGGTATGAGGTTTGAAACCTTCCTGAATCCTCTGTGAAAACTCTTGCCTTAAAGGGTCTTGCTTTTTATGCACATCCTTTTGTTGCTTCATAAGTGTAATTTGGACCCCAAGAAGGACCCTTACAGCCCTCAACAGATAGGGTAAGTCCTGAACTTGGGACAGTAATCCCAGAGCTGTCGTCACCAGGCCAGTCTTTGGTGTACTTTCTGAATCTTCAGGAAACTGATTGCCCTCTCTGGCTTTGTGCAACTTGCCCTCCCACCCTACCAGGCTCCTCAGAATGGAATGTGGTCCTCACTTTTTGGCCCCCAGTTCAGGGGCTCACATTCTGGTCCCCCGCTTAATCCTCACTTCCTCATCCCCCTCAGGAGTCCATAGATACATTTCTCATGTTGCATGATTGGCAGGAGGTTGTACATCTGTGCTTGACAGCTCTGGAGTCTCTAGTCACAAGCATTTTACCTACCCCAGGACAGGTGGCAGGAGTTGCCTGGATGAGGAGGGCATTTGAGTAGAGGATTGTGTGCCCTTCGCAGTGTTTGAAGTCCTAGGGGTAGGTGTCACTGCCCTAGAGACAGGCATGGCTTTGGCTACCTGGTTTCTCTGCCACCTATACAATACTTTTTATTTTCTGGTACTGAGAATTGAACCCAGGAACACTCTACCACTGAATTATATCCCCAGCCCTTTTTTAACTATGAGATAGGGTCTCACTAAGTTACCCAGGTTGGACTCAAACTTGGCAGTCCTCCCTCAGTGCTGGGATTGCAGATGTGTGCCACCATACCCAGCTTCTTCACTTCTAATGTTTGGTTTGTAGAAGCCATGGTTGTCGCTTCCTCTAATCACTAGAGAACATGGTGGTCTGAGGCCAGGAACAAGGGGCATTTTCATTTGTCTTCTGCCCTGTCCCCTGTAGGCTAGGGCTCTTCCCCACCCCAACTTCTCATTTTTCCCCCGCTGCCTTTTGGGCTCTGGGACCTTTCTGGGAAGTCTCCGGCAACATAGAAGCTCAGTGGATTCTGAGTCAGATCTTCTCCGTGAGCATCGGCCCTGGGTTAGGTAAGGATTACACTGAACCCAGGCACCCGTTTGCCCAGGGAATACCCAGAAGATTCAGACAGTGAGTTAGCGGGGAGGCTATATGCTAGTGGAGCCTACTGTGCATGCAAGGTCTCCCCGTCTGGAAGTTGGTCCACTCAAGGGTTTACTAAAATAGGTTCCCTGGCACCTAACCCTGCACAGAACCCAGTTTCGTGCCCTCTGCTTGTGAATGCACAGCCCTGCTAAGAGCAGAAGAACATTCTTTGTCCAGCTGGTCTGCCTGCTAGCTGCAGACTTTCAACTGGGAGCGCCCTGTCCCCACAGAGCCAGGGTTTTGCACCCTTAATCACCTTCTGGTCACTGAGATGCAATTCCGAACACCCACTACTTAAAGGAGGAAAGGTTTATTTTGGCTCACCGTTTGTAGAGGTTTCAGTGCATAGTCTGCTGGCTCCAAGGCAGAGCAGCATCGAGGAGAAAGAGCTCGTGGTATGGTGGTGAGAAGCGCAGAGAGATCAAGGGAGGTGGGAGGGAGATTGACCCTTCCAGGTGATGCACATAGTTACCCACTTCCTCCAACCAGGCTTTACCTCCCAGGGTCATACTTAGCTATAAACTCATCAGTCGACTAATCCATAGTCTGACCTCCCAAAAGCCCCACCTGTGAGCACATGAGGTTTTGGGAAAACATCCAGATATAAAGCATAACATGCGCCAAGCATCAGTGGTCTCCACTAGACGTGTAGGGACTAAGGGAGGGATATAGGGAGCTCCATGCACTCTAGCCTTAGGCTCACCTGTGGGCCTCGCAGCTAGCTGGCTGACAGGCGGTGGTTTTAACCACCATGACCCCTCTGCCAGCTTTTCCCACCTTGCTGTCATGATCCCAGTTCATTTTTTGCTTTGTTCTGACCTCAAGTTGGGGGGTGCTTTCCTTCCATCTTGCTGCCTTTTTCCAGCTGCCCTTTTCCTCCAGCTTCTGCCCCATTGCCGCTTCTCTGCCTGCTGGCCCCAACTGCATTCAGGCATCCTTTAGCAGAACTGGCACGTGTGAAGCTGAAATTATAAATAGCTCTGGTGCCAGCCCTGCCCTTTGCTCTCTTTTTTCTGGTCTTTCCCTCTCCGTCCTCTTGTCTGTGAGTTGGAGTTGGCTGATTTCCGAGCTGTCCCTGTCTGATGCTGGTAGCACCGTTCAGGGTCCCAGTGGAAGATTGTCGGTCTAAGGAGCAGTGCCCTCATCCTGTGTCCTCTCTCCACCCCAGCACCTTCCCTGGTCTGGATGTTCCCTTGAGCGGCCCCACCCTTTGGAACAGGAAGAACTGGACTTGGCACCATCCTGCCTGCACTGTTTTTCCTCCCAGCTTTCCAAACCATGTGGGTGGAATGAGGCACAGCGCCTCCGCCCAGGCAGGCACCAGCATCTTATGCTGGGTGGAGCCATCATGGGTTACTGCTCTACTGGCCTCCCAGGGCCTCACCATTCCCCCTGGAGCTCACAGTAGCGAAACTGTTCTCCAGACACAAGCAGGGCTGGGTAGGTGGGTGGGCAATTGCTACTGCTAGAGAATCTGCTGTTCCCTTCATCTCTTCTCTTGCATGGATGGGAGCAGCATTCAGACACGGTGAGGGATATGTGCAGGAGCAGCTGCAGGCTGCTTTCCAAAGACCCTGCTCTTTACAGTAGGCTGAGGGGGGTGTCAGGCTCTCCAGCTCTGCCCATCTGTGCACCTGAGGCAGTGGCCTTGCTGAACTGTTGTAGCATTTCAGCTTAGTTGTCTTCAGATGAGGGTTTGGAGGCCCTGCAGGAGGTCTCAGAGCTTCATAAAGATGCAGCCAAAACTAGGACCTAGTCAGGTCTTTGAAATCTAGTCATTACTTGGATTATGAAATAAATCTAAGTCAAATACTGTTGAGTTCCAAACACTGTGGGGACCACATGGGTGAGACCTGGGTATTGTTTCCCTACAGTCATAGCTGCCCCTACACAAGTGCAAGTGGAGCCTGCCATATTTGCGCACATGCACGCGCGCGCGCACACACACACACACACACACACTTGGGTGATCATAGGTCATGCATATATGCACATGCAGGCATACACACACAATTCCCAGTGCAAAACAGTGGCCCAGGAAGACTTTATATATAGTTGCAGTGGATAGTGAAGATGTGTTATAAGCCCCAGGGACCCTGATGGAACATAGAAATTGGACTCCCCTCACCCAGTCTGCACCCAGGTGACACAGGTTCAGGGTTGGAAGGGCATTTGTCTGAGACCACAGGTTTCAGTGGGGCAGGGAGGCTCTGCAGCACTGCCTGCCCTGACACCTGTCTCTAGGCTCTTCTTGCTTGGTCCACTGTCTCTGTCAAAGTGTCTTCTTTCCCTAGGACCCAGGAAGTGGAAAAGGATAGTAGGGTTTGGGTGCAGGGGGCCCACACTGGGGCCCTGGCTCCAGACTTGAAAGACAAGATGAAGCCGGAGATCACCTCATCTGGTACATCTTCAGCATCATATCTGCACCCACGCCCCCGCTCCCCCCGTGCGTGGTTCTCATTGCAGGGATGATTTGGTCCCCACCATACGTGGCAGCTTCTAGAGACCTTTATGACTTTCACCACTGGGAGGTGGAAGCCAGGGATTCTATACATTACCCTTCATGGCACAGGACTACCCTGAAGCCCCAAAGAGAAGCCTACAGCCCCAGATATTAGCAGTTCCTAGGGTGAGGATCCTGTCCAAATCAGTAACTTCTTCTGAATGGGTCAGGAAAGAAGCAAAAGAAAGGTTCCACGCTCTGGGGACTCATAGGATGGAGTTGTTTCAGGTTTAACCTTGGGCTGGAAAACTGGCAAAAAACTGACAGGGCTGTTTTGTCGTCTTCCATGGATGCAAGGCCCCTCCCCACACTGAAATCTCCCACTAACTACAGGTGGGACCCTTTGGCCCATAGCTGGGCATAGGGTAGTGCCATGGGCACAGGCAACCTCTGACACTGCCCATGGCCAGGGAGCAAAGCAGGCAGTGGGCAGGAAATCAACTGAGAGGCTCCTTTCATTCTGTTTTGTTGTTGCCTTTGGCATCACCATCTCTATTGGTTTGCTAGGGCTGCCGTAACAAAGCACCACCAGCTGGATGGCTTAAACAATAGAAATTTTTACTTTGTCACAGCATTGGAGGCCAGACGCCCAAGATCAAGAAGTCAACAGGGTTAGTTTCTTCTAAGGCTTCTTTCCTGGGCTATCAGATGGCTTGATAAGGCTGTTCCCTGGGTCTTTGCATGTCTTCTCGGCACAGCTGTGTCCGAGGAGAAGAGCAGTCACAGGAAGGAGGACTTTGCCATAGTCCATTTACAAGAGGGATCCTGCCAACCACTTCAAAGTCTAGAAAGCAGGGTTAGCTACAAAGACCTTGAACTTGGAAGACAGGGCTCCACATGGGCAAGTGACAGCAGACCCCAGCTCTAGCCCTTGTGGCCAGGAAGGAGGATATATAGAGGAAGGCATTGCTACCCAGGGTCCAAGGATCAGGCAGCAGTGGCAGAATCCAGGCAAGGAAGGCATCAGAGAGGAGTGGTAGGTGGCATGCTTGTGCTGTGGCAGGTATGGGGGTAGCTGTGCAGTGGGCTCTGGTGCCCCCTCAATTCAGCCTCTGTTGGGGCTGCTCTTGGGCTTTCTACCAGCTGTACCCACCTGAGGTCAGAGCTTTGTCTTTTCCTTCCTTAACGAGGCTAAGCTGGCTACTCCCTGGTCTCAGGCACTGGACATGGATGGATGGAGGGAGGAAGAAGGCCTTGCAGCCATCCCAGCACCAAGCTTCCCATTTCCCAGTGAAGCCCTCAGCTTTGTTGAATGACTTTCTAGATACTTCATTTACCATGGCTGACTGAGTACGTGCCAAGCCTCCCTTGCTTCCCTTCTACTTCCAGGTAGAATCTTCTCCAGGGCTTAGTCCAAAGGTTGACATGCTGTCTTCCTCCCCAAGGGAGCTAATGCAAGCATCCTACTCCACTACCTCTGCCCCCCAGGCTGACGTCCATCTGTCTCGTTCTGCAGAGTGAACTGGACTTGGAAAAAGGCCTGGAGATGAGAAAATGGGTCCTGTCTGGAATCCTGGCCAGTGAGGAAACTTACCTGAGCCACCTGGAGGCACTGCTGCTGGTGAGGATGAGGAGGGAGGGGGCTGAGCAGGGCCTTCACCCCAAAGGGGATCTGTCTGCTTCCCAGGTCAGCTTGGGAACCTGGGGGCATCCACCCTGTGGGAGGGTCAGAACAGTCCACCTCTGTAGAAATAGGACCTCCCTAAGGGACAGGGGATTCTTGTGGAAGACTTACTTGCTAACTTTTAATTTTTGCTGGGATTTAAAAATAAAAGGACTGGGGATGTCCCTCATTGGTAGAGTGCTTGCCTAGCTTGCCCAGGGTCCTGGGCTCAGTCCTAGCACCAAAAAAAGAAAACAGAGGCATATATGTCACATAACCATGGCGTTCTGCCGTCATGGCACACACCTGACAAAGGGTACGCCCTCTCACCTATGCCACCCACATGTCCTTTTCCAGCCCATGAAACCTTTGAAGGCCGCTGCTACCACTTCTCAGCCTGTGCTGACCAGCCAGCAGATTGAGACCATCTTCTTCAAAGTGCCTGAACTCTATGAGATTCACAAGGAGTTCTACGACGGGCTCTTCCCCCGGGTGCAGCAGTGGAGTCACCAGCAAAGGGTGGGCGATCTCTTCCAGAAGCTGGTACGTGTCTTGAAGCATGCTGAGAACTTGGGGCTGTGGGGTGGCTGGGCAGGGACCAGGCCTGTCCTCCATCCTGTGGGGGTGTGCCCACAGGGACATAGTAAGAGTATGAGCCTGTGTGTGTCTCAGTAGAGGGCAAGGGCAGGTTGGAGAGAGAGACAAAGCAAGGGAAGCATTTGAACCCCAGCTGGAATCTAGTGAACAGCATGTCCTTTCTTTTCTGGCTCCATTCAGTTTTGCTCTGAGTTCCCAGTCACTAGCTGGCCCAGTTGCCCCTTTGAGGGCCCCTGGGAGTAACCTAGGGGTTATAAGGATCTGTGTACATTACATGCAAATACTATGTGCAGTATTACATGCAAATATTGCATGCAAATGCCCTTTAGGTAAGAGACTAGAGCATCCATGGCTTTTAGTATCCCTGTGGAGTGGGGGGACACAGTCCCCCGTGGTTACTGAGGGACAACTGGGCTTTATTTCATTTTTGCAGTTATGTAGATTAAAGTCCCTTGAATCTGTTGGAGAATTTTTGTTGTGAGGAAAAGAGAGTTGGGCATTAAAAATTAAGGTATTTGGAAAAATGCCCACAGGATCTAAAAGACCCAGAGAAAAATGATAAACAGGGGACATCTGTGCAGCCCTCAGCTGCTCAGGTAGCTATTCCCAGAGTCCGCAGCCATGTTTAATCTAGGATGTCACCTTCACAGTGACATCCTTGTGCCTTGCAAGAATCAGGACACATCCTGTGACAGGGTGGAGAAATGCAAGAGCGGGTTGGTGGGTACCTCCACCAGGGACCATGGAGCAGAGGACAGCCTTGTACTGTGAGGATGTCTGGTTCTTACAGAACTGGACTCTGCTCTGACATAGATGGGGTGAAAGGTGTGGCGTCATCTTACCTCTACAGAGGTAGCTGTCTAAGGCGGGTAGTCTTCACAGCGGTATAGCAAGAAGATGGGGAAGAGGGATAGGTCACTTTGAAAAAGAAGAAAGTATGCATTTTCTTGCTTTGGGAACCATAAAACCAAGAACAATGTTAGATGACAGAATAAGGGTTTCTTAAATGGCTTGGTGGGACAAAACTGACCAGAAATCTATCCAGTAGGGTGACTGTGGGATCTTTATTCATGTCCCCAGAGGGGATAGCCAGGAAAGCGGGCCAGAGGCCTCTCTGGCCAGCCACTGACCCCTGCAGCCAAGAGGACTCAAGGATGCTGCCTGTAAGAGTCACATTCAGATAAAAGGGTGAAAGACCAGCTGTTCCTTTTCTTTTTTTCCTAGGGTGAGCAATCAAGTCCAGGGCCTTACTCCTAGCCCTTATACCTGATATTGGCCAGGATATGCCAGGATACGACAGGATAGTTAGTAGGTCTGGGTGCACACTTACACACAGGTGAGGTAGAACTTTTCCAGAAGGAAACGGAAGGAGCCCCTGGGGAAAAGGAGCCAAGTCTCTGGCAGGGGCTATGGGATCATCATTTGTGGTCCAGACTGAGGTTCTGTGATGTGTGAAAAGACCCATTTCTAAGTCTAAAGTAGGGAACCAAGAAGAGATTGCAGGATGGGGCTCTAAGTGTAAGAATTGACCACAAAGACCCTCCCTGTCTTGGTAGAGCTACTAGAAGGCAGATGCCAGGCAGGCTGTGTGACCCGTGTCTACCTCTGAAGATTTCTGATCGTTTACTCTGGGGTTGCCCAGGCCTCCGTGCACATACGCTTTCTCTGGAACGTGCTCCTTCCCAAGGGAAACAAATGCTTCAGTGGAAGGGGTGACCCAAGTCTGCGTTCCTTTGTGCATACAGAAGCCCATGTTACTGACAAGCTGGGCAACAGCCCCAGCCTTCCTGGGCCCATCCGTACACCTTAATGCCAAATTTGGCCTCACGAGCACTCCAAGGTGTGGCTTTCCTTTCATCAGTCCCCTCCCTCTGCTTCCTGGGACTGCAAACACTGGACTGTAGGCTGGACCCAGGGCCTGAGGGACAGAAGAGATCCAGATTCTCACATCTTGAGACTCCTTTCTCCACAGTCAGAGTACAAGAGGCTGTAGGTTGATGTGGGTATCCCCCGTCTTTGAAACCCTCCCCCAGCTTTGGTTTTCTCTTGTGATGTGTCAGCAGTTTTAAACCCAGTGGATTGGACTCAACCAGTAGCCTATCAGAAAAAATGGAGTTTCATGTTTTGGGGGAAAAAAACCACAAGCAGCACTTTCCCTAGGATAACATTCCAAAATCACTTGGAAACTTTTTAAATTTTAATAACCTGCTGAACACTAGAACTTAAGTTGGAAAGTTAAGTTCCTCTGGCTTCCCTGGGGTCCATGATGCTTCATGCATCAGGTGCTGTAACAGGAAGAGTGGGAAGAGGGGCTGTAGGTGGAAGTCATTCTCCAGCTACTGTGGGCGGGATGATCATGTGACTTCTACTTGGGCTGAGTGCTGGGGACTCCCAAGCACAGACAGACAGCCTAGCACCACTCCATCAGGTGCCCTACCTGGGAGAGTCTAGGGTTCAAGGTGTTCGCCGTCCTCTAACCCCAGCTTTGGAGCCTCTCCTTGAGCACAGGGCCTTACGCACCACATCTGATACACAGAAGGCTTGACAAACGCTGCCTTTACCATCCTGTCCTGTGGGGCTGTACCAGTTCATTTCCACCATGCATGATACTGTTCCTAGGAGAAATTTTATCAGCTTTATTTCGTTGTTGTTGTTTTCTAATCAATGTAGACTTATGGAAGAATTTCAAGGATAGTACAAAGAACTCTGTCTTCTTCACTCACATACACTGATTGAAACATTTTGCCACATTTATATCTTTTATGCATGCTTTCATGCACACACACATGCATGTACATACAGAAGTACACACTTTTTTTCCCTTTATTGTTTGAGTAATTTGCAGACATCTCCCCTTTTGCCCTTAAATACTTCATTATGTTTTTGCTAAGAGCAAGGACATTCTGTTCTCTAACCCACAGTACAATTTGTCACATTGAGGAGATTTCACATCGATGTGACATTGTTACTTAATATGCTATCCCTATGCAAATTTCCCCCAAGTTAGTGATTATGTTCTTTCTAGCCATTTTTGGTCTCTGATTCAGGATCCAGTCCAGGGTCATGTCATGTACTTGGTTGTCACATCTCTTTAGGTTTCTTCTAGCTCTACCAGTTCCTTGGACTTGGTTCATCTGTGGCTGACATTTTTTAAAAGGGACAGACCAGTTTGGTGTCAGATGTTTCCTCAGGAATAGATTTAGGTTCTGTGTTTCTGGGGAAGAATAGTGCACAGCAGTGGGTCTGTCTTTCTCAGTGCTTCATGTCTAGAGGTGCAGGATCTGCTTTGTGGCTCCACCAGTGTAGTTCAGGTTGCTAGTTAGCTAAAAATGTTGAAATGAATTGCTCAGACTTCTCACACCTGGAAAGGTGAGCTCTTTGGGCAGGAAGAAGTCACAAAAGGGATCCTCTTCCCAAGACCTCTCCAGACTCTGTTTAGGCATCTCCTCTTCCAAGGGTTGTCCTGATCCTGCCCATGTTCTCTAAAGCAGGGTACTATTCTCAATCCTTGCCGCACTTCAACCATCTGCCATTTTTTATATGTGTCTGCTCATTTATTTGTCTTGTGCTATCCTGTTAGAGTACCACCTGCAGAGCATGGTCTTGTGTCTGATTATTTGTGGCTATGGGGATAGGGCCTCAAGCAAGGCCTTAGTTTTGGTGAAAGGTATTCAAAGGGAGGGAGAAGGGAAAGAAGGAAACACTCTAGATCTTGTCATTGTGCCAGTGAGGATGAACCTGGAATTCAAGGATGCAACAACGTCTCTGGGTTGGCCAGTGTGGGGGGATCTGAGCAGGACGTCATCTTTCAGCCACTGCTGTTTACTCAAACACCCTGTAGTTCTCTGTGTGCCCCTTACCAGGAAGTGCAGCTGGAAGATCAGGCCTGACTTCCCCATTGGCCCTGGGTAACCCAGTGTCTGGGATTGTTGTCCATAGAAACATAAAATTCAATATAAATGCAAATGCATGTGGAAATTAAATTTAGGTTCAGCACAGGAATAGCAAATGCCTCTGACTTCCAGCTCCCAGTTAACTGCAATGGGAAACTGTAGCTTGGCCAATGGGTCTCCGTTTAATCTTACAGGCCTGGATTTGCTAATGGTGAAGACTGGTTTCTTCCTTACTGACTCAAAGTGAGGTGAAGCGCAGGTAATGGCGGTGCTGTGCACAGCTACCTATGGAAGTTGAGGCTCAGTTGAGTATGTGTTTGAGCAAGAGACTCGGTGAGGAGACACTGTCTTAGTACCTTTGGTTTACTAAAGGACAATAAAATGCCTCTTCCCTCATAGCTGGCAGGTTTCCTGCCTGCCATCTGTGCAGCGTGCCATCTGGGCACCCCTGCCAGATCTAGTACAGGCTAGACTCTGGGCAGCAGCAGCTTCTATTCATGGACAGCCCGATGAAGTATTCCATACCTTTCTGAGGGAATGAGAAATGAGCAGAACACCACGGCCCCAGGGACCACTGACCTCCATGTCCATGTTGGCCTCGCAGCCAGAAAGAGAAGGCGCCTCTTAATCTCATCTGTATTGAGATCAAGCTTGTTCTGATTCACTTACCAACTTACTACCTCAAACTTCAGCGAGTACCTTTTAAGCAAGTGGGGTGGGAGGAATAAGCAGCTCTGGAAGGGAGCCATTACCTGCCTGTGTCTGAGTCACTCTTCAACATGTCATTTTGGGAGAGAGATGCATGTTCAGTGCGTGGGGAAGGGAAGCAGGTGGGAGTGAGTGGCACGGAAGAGCTGAGGTCCCTGCAGCCCGCGTACTGTCTGCTGTACCTGGAGTTCCTCTGGAGCTGTGCACAGGAGCTCAGGCCTCGGAAAGATGGGGAACAACAGCACCTGTCCTGCACCTGCCCCACATCTGTCCCACACTCTTTTCCTTCTTCCCTGCAGGCCAGCCAGCTGGGTGTGTACCGGGCCTTTGTGGACAACTATGGAGTTGCCATGGAAATGGCAGAGAAGTGCTGCCAGGCCAACGCTCAGTTTGCAGAGATCTCTGAGGTAACAGGTGTCCTGACGCCATGCAGACAGGAGCACTGCTGACCTCCCACCCATGCTTTTCGCCTCCTGCGGAGGCTATAGGCTGGTTGTTGGTACAGTGTGACTTAGGAAGACAAAACACATAAATCAAGGTCTGGTCACGATCCCTAGCTCTGATTCCAGAGGCTGCTGGGTTTGTCCCAAAGCCCCAAGCCTGCAGTGCTGCTGTGACCAGACAGAAGCAATAGCCCCCTGAACGCCCTGCCTCCCCAAGGGCTAAGGCCTGATATCAGGGGTCAGCTGGTGCGTCAGCGCGTTTTACTTTGCCGTAGGTTTATGTTCACAGTTCTGGAGGCTGGAAAGTCCTAGTGCATAGAGTGCATTCTGGCTGCATCATAGCTTAGCAAAATGCATCTCATTGTAGGACAGTGCGTGTGTGCCAGCCTAGGTCCCTCTCCTCCTCGTACAAAGCTAGTAGTGCCCTCACGGAGCCCCACCCTCATGACCTCATCTAATCCTAATCATCTCCCAAAGACACCACCTTCAAATACCGTGCGCATACAATGAGGGATAGAGGACACTTTTGAACTGTAGCAGCCGCATTCCAACATATGCTCTTGCACCATCTGCGTTGAGTGCTGCATATAATTCTGCACCCCTGTCTTATCATGGGAGTGAGTCCTGAGCCTGATCTGCACCTTATCACTGAAGACGGTGGGAGTTGTCCTCTGTTCCCTTTCTAACCTTCCAGTGGCCTTGAGAGCTGGGAACACTGAGTAGTAATACCAGGGACTGAGGGTTTGTGCTGCTACAACACTGCACCCTCCTGGGGAAGAAAGCTGCTGGTTAGAACTGTCTCACTCAGATGGTGGGGGTGGTCACTGTCTCCTTGTTTGCACTTAGCCTGAAGGGGACTGAAGTGTCAAGCTATGGAGTGTTAGCACCTGGACCCTCAAATACAGAGAGGAGTAGGCCATCCAGGAGGCTGGTGGCCAAGCCAGGACCAGAGCCTGGCAGCACCCCTGGGTCTCTGTTTCTCCAAAGTTTCTTCTCACCCTTCCCCATCCTATATCTGCCAGGCTGATACCAACTGGGGAGTGTTTGCTTCTCTTGGGGCCTGTTACCACTCTTGCCTTTGGATGACTCCCACTCTGCAGAGTCCTGACTTCTGACTTGGCCTTTCCCCCACCAAACAAGCATCTAGGTGGAAAAACCTCTGCAAGAAAGGCAGCATTAGAAAGAGAGGTGGAGAGGGGGTGAAGAGAAGGTAGAGGAACGGGGAAAAAAAAAAGAAGGTATATCATGCACAGGTACAAATTCTCTATGATAAATGCGATCATTATGTATACCTAAAATGTACCAATAAACTTAATTCATTAAAAAATTTTTTTAAATTAAAAAACAAAGGTATTAAAAAGGAAAGAAGGGAAGAAACGAAAACATAGAGTGGGTCCAGTCTCTCTTACTGGTAGAAAAAAGGACCTTGATGTCGCACCTGGGCTTTGTTTGGGAGACTCTGTACCGTTTTATCATTTATCACAGGACCAAAGGCATCAGGATTCCTGGCTCTGGTTCTTGCCCACAGTAATAGCTCATGCCATGCTCTTCTTCCTGAGCTCATGGGGTGCCCAGCCGCCCACCTAGTGCCCCGGATTCCGCATGCCCCAGCTCCATGTTTCCCACCTCACCAACCCCCACCCCCAGTATTCAGTCCATTCTGTTCTTTTTCACTAGATTAGCAAGGGTATATTAGATTATACCCTTATCAGATAGAATGTTGGCCCAGAATTCCAGGAAACCTTAACAAATCAAAGGCCTGAACCTTGAACAAACTATAGTTATGTGGCCAAATTCAAGTCCACTTGGACAGGTTTCTGTTAGGGGAGGGGGAAACCATGGTGGGATGTCACCTGGGGAGCGGAGTGTCACATGGATCCATCAGCTGCTTAAATCAAGGCTGGGATGCAGGGGGTGGCTAGTGGCTCAAGGCCAGCCAGAAGCTGGCCCTCTGAAGCCTGATGTTTCTTGGACCATTAGAACAGTTTCTCTGCCACAGTTTAAAAAAAGAAAGAAAAATTGGAGCTGCCTAAAGAATAAAATTTAGCTCAAGGAAAAGGAAGTAGCAGCTGTGTGGTGGTATAAGGGATTGTGTGCTGGGGTGGAAGGGATCTGTGCTTAGATATAGGGCTTGAGTATCTCCCTCAGTTACAAGGCAGAGAAAAGTAAGGGTTCTCCATCTTCTCCTAGGACCAGTCCTGGGAGATGGGTGCAAGGTGGTATCCAGTTAGAGCAGAGTTGCCCACAGTGGGTTCTGGAGGAGCGGGTGTCACTGATCCCCTTCATGATAAATAGAGGTAGATAAGTGAGCACCCATCAAACTGGAGATAATAGCACTTGGCCAGAACGCATGAGTCTCTGAGTTTGATCCCCAGCACTGAGGAGCTCAGGAAGGAGGAGCTTCTAGAATCCAGTAAGTTTAGGAAATGTTGGGTTAAATCAAACTCTGAAGTCCCCTTGAGGCAGCATGTCCCAGAGCTTGTGCCTTGTGCTATCCAAGGGCACACAGAGTGTGGGCCGTCTCCCAGGCTCACGTGAGCTCAGCACCTGGTTTCTGCAGCCTCACACCCCCTCACACCTTTTGGGAATTGCTGAGTCAAATGTAGGAAGGAACATTCGCCACAAAGGATATTAAACTCTCAGAAAAGGCACCAACACGCACAATGGGCTTTGACCCCAGTGAGCTGGAAGACACCATCATTTGGTCCCAAAAAGTTTTCTGCAGCCTATGAGATTGGGAGAGCAGTCCCGGAACCCCTGCCTGTCTTTGTGCTGGTTATGCATTTGTTCAGAAACCTCGTACTAGGATACCTTGAAGCTGCTTCATAGGGGTTATTTCAGGCACATAGGGATTCTTTATTCTCATTTCTCTTGGTACTTTGGACTAAGTCAGTGATGGCTTTGATGCAGTTGTGTCAAATCATAGTCTATCCACTAACAAGCCCTCCCCTCGCCCTGGGAATCTTAGCACCTTATTTCACACAAGTACATTTGCACATTTTTAACAAGTGTATTTTTACATATCCACCACGAGCGTGGGTGGAAGTAAAATCCAGCGTCAGTCTAGGTGGTGGTGGGCCTGCCCTGGTTGTCGTCAAAAGTGAGTGTTCTGAATGAGCAGCCCCCTGTGCGCTGTTGAACTGCTCCAGGAACCCAGTTAGTTTCTATTCCCAGGATTCTTCACGTCAGAGTTTCTTAACCAGGGGCAACTTTGGCAGCCTAGAGATACTTTTAGTTTCACAACAGGAAGCTAGGGTGATACTGCATCTACAGGTAGAGGCCAAGGACGCTTGCTCAGCATCCTGAAGTGCAGAGGGCAGCCACGTAGGGCAGGAAATTCCTAGCTTCAAATGTCCACAGTGCTAAGGTTGAGGAATCCTGTCCTAAATGACCTGATGTATCCTAGGCATCTTTCATGCTCAGCTTCACTCAGTTTCTATCCAGCCTCTGTATTCTTTTGGCAACTCAGACTGCCTCCCTGAGGTCTGCTGCACTGAGGGCTCTTTGTGGGGAGAGAAGGGTGAGCTTTCTGCTAAAAGTCCCTGACCACTCTGCCATGTCAAAGCTGCTTCAGTTGTCCTCTGTGAACACATGCCCTTTTTTTTGGTTTTGGTTTTTGTTTTGTTGAGACAGGGTCTCTCTATGCAGTTCAGGCTGGCCTTCCATTCACTTTGTAGCCCAGGCTGGCCTTGAACTCGAAGCAGTCCTCCTGCCTTAGCCTCCTGAGTGCTGGGATTACAGGCGTGCACCACACACCCAGATAACACGTGCTTTTCTGTCTGCAGAACCTGAGAGCCAGAAGCAACAAGGATGCCAAGGATCCAACGACCAAGAACTCTTTGGAGAGTGAGTTCTCTATGCAAAGCCCTCCTTGTTCCTTTGTAGGGGTAACCACTGCCAGCAGAGATATTGCCAGAAAAGCAGATATGGCATCTAGTTGAGTTACCCCCAGCATCTTTCCTATTATAAAACCGAGTCTTTAGCACTTCATACAGTGAGAATGCTGATAGGGAAGGAGTAGCTCTGGATGTGGCAGGGTGGGAAGAACATGGTCAGGAGCATTTTGCCGACAGTATTGGCAAGCAGGAAAAATCGTAGAAGTTAGCCAGTGTGCACAAGCTGATCACTGCCACGCACTTAAAATGTGATTGTGAGCCAGGCGTCTTGCACACATCTGCAACCCTAGCTACTCAGGAGGCTGAGGCAGGAAGGCCACAAGTTTGAGGCCAGCCCAGGCAACTTAATAAGACTTTGTCTCAAAATGAAAAATAAAAGAGGATTAGGGGTGTAACTCAGTGGTAGAGTGCTTGTCTAGCATTTTTGAAGCCCTGGATTCAGTTCCTGAGAAGACCAGCTTAGGGAGGAAAGATTTGTTTTGAGTTGAAGTTTCAGAGGTGGTTCCTTTGCTGTGGGCCTGAGGTGGGGCAGAACCATAGCCCAAGGGGGTGGCGGAGCAGGGCTGCTCACCTCATGGCAGCCAGGAAGCAGAAAGCAAGGGAGAGGGCCAGAGAGGAAGGGGCTGGTGAGCAGATAGAGTCCCCTAAAACAATGCGTCTGTCATCCTGTCTCTGCAGCTGGGCCCTGCCTTCTGTTCCTGTCACCACCACATTATGATCTCACCAGCAGATTAAGCCACTTGAAGTTAGAGCCCTATAGCTGGGCATGGTGGCGCACACCTGTAATCCCAGCACTTAGGAGGCTGAGGCAGGAGGATCGTTCTGAGTTCGAGACCAGCCTGGGCTACAAAGTGAGCTCAAGGCCAGCCTGAGCTGCATATCGAGGCCCTTTCTCAAAAAGACAAAAAAAGAAAAAAAGAAGTTAGAGCCCTCATGATCCAGTCACTTCCCCAAGGTCTATCCATTGGGAACCGAGCCGTTAGCACTAGAGTTTTGGGGACACTTCAAATCCAAATCATAACAACCCAGTATAACAAATTGAAGAGAAGAGGGGAAAAAATGTCATCGTGGCAGGTTTACTGGTCTGCATCTGTAATCCCAGCTACTCAGAAGGCTGAGGCAGGAGGATTGCAAGTTTGGGGCCAGCCTGAGCAGTCCTCCCTCCCTTCCCCTCTCCCTCCTCCCTATATATAAAAAAATTGTGTCATCTCAGTAGTCCTCTAAGAAGGATTATATATTCTCCCCTCTCTTATATGAGATACTAGTTTGTTTTCTGTTGCTATAGCTGAATGCCATAGACCAAGTAACTTACAAACAGTAATGGCTTGGCTCTCAGTTCTGTAGGTTGAAAACTTGAAGATCAGACAGCTGCATCCAGTGAACGTCTTCTTAGAAGTAGGGGCTCTCTGCAGAGTCCCAGGGCAGCACAGGCCATCACACGTGGACAGAACAAGCGTGCCAGGGAAAGCTCACTGTGAGAACTCCCTCCATAACCCATCAGTCCGTGAATCATGTATAAGGTGGAGCCCTCCTTACCTAGTCATGTCCCAAAGGTCACAGTAACATGTAATGTTGGAGGTTAAATTTACAACTGAGGGACGCATTCGAACTGTAGCAGATGAGTAGGTGGATATGGAACATAAAGTGAATAAAGAACACAAGTTCTAAGTAGCTGGGCAGGAATTGAATTTAGCCTCCACACACTGATCTAAAAACAGTGTCAGGAAAAAGTCTTCTTACCTTGGATTGTTAGGATAGTGTGAATAGTGGTGCTCACTCACAGTAGATATGTACGCCCAACCTTACCCTAAGACTCAGTTTCCCTGTCTATAAAATGAAGCTAGCAATGAATGAGCTGGCATGGGAGTCATGTGCAAGAATGTACCTGACGTGTGTCAGAACACACATAAGTGTCTAGTCCCGCAGTGGATTGTGCTCATCATTGTCAGAAGCACAAGTGGCCAAGGCTGGCCGTGGCTCCTATGCGGCTGGAGCCTGGGTATGCCTCTGCTGATTCCCATCCCAGAGCACCTGTCGGACCGACAGCAGTAGCAGCATCTGAGTTGGCTCCTGCCCGTCTCAGAATCAGGTTGTGAAACATCCAGGGATGGATGGGGATGAGCACTGAGAGCAGTGTGCTGGTCTGCTCCTAGGCTCCCTCCCAGGCTGGAGATAATCTCCAGCCAGGATCAGACCCTTGGCAGCAGGTCTTCCTCAGCCCCAGCTGGCAGGAGCATCAACACTGAGCCTTTTTTTTGGTGGTCACAGAGTAAGATGCGCAGGCTCAGGCCTGACCAGCAGCTCTGCACAGATTTTAATGCCTTGGACTTAAAGCTCAGAGCGTGGCAGGTGGATGCTCTGGATTTGTCTTCCTCTCTGTGCAGAGGGGTGGTAGGGCCTCTGGAGGGTGAGGCTGCCCGTCCCCTCTCTGTTACAGCGCCAGCTGGCTGGCACATGTTCTGCTTTCTCCCAGAGCAGCCATCTCTCACTGCGCCTGTCTCTCCACAGCCCTGCTCTACAAGCCTGTGGACCGGGTGACGAGAAGCACGCTGGTCCTCCACGTGAGTCACATTCCAGGGCACAGCAGCTGCCTCCCAAGGTGGACAGGGCGCTTGCCCTATCCTCAGTCCCAGTCAGGCAGCGGGGCCTTCTCCCTGGGGCCCTTGGCATTTCTTGTCCCGGGACAGACACTGATCTTTTGCCCACCCATCACCTGAGCACTTTCTATGCCACACACCTTCAGTGAGGGTGCAGAGAGAGAAGAGGCCTCATAGTGTGGGGTGCTTGCAGGATGGAATGAGGCTCTGCAGGTGTTCCTGCTACAACAGGCAGTGAGCATCCTGTCTCACACAGGCAGGATCTTGCACGTGGGAAGCTTCGTGCCAGTGAAGTGCATTAGGCTGAGGCTCCGAGGAACACAGGGTAAGAACTCATGGCTGGTGTGCGTCTGGCTCAGACCACTGCCTCTGACCCAGGGAAAGTGCCCTGGGGGATCCCACCTCGTGGGGAGTCATCACCAAATGGGTCTTTGCAAAACAGAAACAAACCGGAAAACAAAAACAACCCAAGTACTACTGCCTGGGAGATCCTATTAATACTATATATATTTACGTATTTTTTTAAATTTAGAGCCAGTTCACAGAAGTGTGTGATGTTTCCATTTCTTTTCCTGCCCCCTCCCCATAAGGGATTTCACCATGAGGATTCTGTGCGCATCAGCTGGTGTATATGAGCTTTTTAAATAACACATGTCACACTGCACATGGTTCGCTTCTTTCCATCTAATATCATGTCATGGAGCTTTTTTCTCTGAAGCAGGGAGGTGCTGACCTCAAACAGAAATGACTTGCATACTAGTAGAGAAGGTTTACCATCTGGATTCAGAAAACGCCCAGACTCTCAATAAAAGAGGTGGGGCCAGGAAGGCCAGGAGCTTTCTCCTGGCCTCATCCAGGCCCGTGGTTCTGGGCAACCATTTCTGCCTCTAAGGAGATGGGCAGCAATATCTCCTGCTACTGTCATCTAGTAGAGGCTAACGATGGCACTAAATATCGTACAGTGCACCAGCCAGCTCCTGCACCCTACTCCACCATTACAGAGAATCAGTTATCCTGCCCAGAATGTCAGCAGCATCGAGGTCCAGAAGCCCTGGCCTGGACTCTTGTAGCGGGAGCCTAGCTTAACTGTGTGCACATGCATGGATTTGTTAGTGAGCCATTGGGGCCATTTGCTTCTGGAATGGTTATCACACAGGTACTGTTCTCAATGTTCAGAGCTTTGGAGGTCGGTGGTGGTGATGCTCAGAGAGCCCGTAGCTCTGAGTTACACTGTGTGTGTAGGGCGGGGACCAGAGTCTGGCTGTCTAACTCGAGTTTTTCCACCTGGTGCAGGACTTGCTCAAGCACACTCCCTCCAGCCACCCTGACCATCCCCTGCTGCAGGACGCCCTCCGCATCTCACAGAACTTCCTGTCCAGCATCAACGAGGAGATCACACCCCGCCGGCAGTCCATGACAGTGAAGAAGGGAGAGGTAAGTGAGGCTGGGGATATAGTGCACCCTTACCCTCAGACCCCTGTAGGGTCCCCAGCAAGTGGCTTAGTCCAACACAGCAATGTGTTGCCCTTGGGGATCTGTGACACTGGCAGGGTACAGTCCAGTCCTATATGCAAGGCATTGGAGTAAAGTTGCAGGGATGACGCCTAATGCCACATGCCTGCCAGACAGCTTTGTCGTCATCCCTGACTTGGCCCACCTCTTTTTTTCCTCCCATCCTTTCCATTGAGCTATTCCCCTCATATTCATCCAGCTCCAGGTCCCCGCCTGAGTAGACCAGTGAGTAAAGATACAGCATTTTGTCTGTCTCGAATCTGCCTACTTCCTCCCAGGCGTTCTTTCATTAAAAAGCTTGCTTTGGCTTAGTGGCAGAGCACTCTCTTAACATGTGCAAGGTCCAGGGTTAACTCTCTTCACTAAGAAACTGTTCACACTAGATGGGGCCAAGGATATAGCTCAGTGGCACAAGCACCTGTACAGCAAGTGCAAGGTCCTGAGTTTGATTTCTGGTACCAGAAAAAAAAAACAACAAAAAAACCCCACTAGATTTAAGGATTTAAACAGGAAGAAAGGGATGTTTCCATGGTTTGTGTCTAACATGTTAGAGTGGCTGAAGAACTTGATGTCTTCAGTCTGGAAGCTTCTCCTTCCTCCCCTGGCCCCGTCTCTGGCAGTCACTTGCAGTCATTCTCTTCTTACATGTCATCAATAAGCAGGGGTTGGCCTGCATCCTTACCACCTCTGACCCTTCCTGGAAGGGCCCAGTGTATTGCTAGGCAGGTACCTTTCCAGCTGGACAGCATCTAGTAAGGGCGGCTGAGGCCTGCACACGGGGGACCAGTGTCCAGCGTGAACATGCCGTGTCAGTGAGAGCTGAACTGCAGCCTCCGGGGCCTTGTATGGGGACAGGAGCCAGAGAGGGCATGGCCCTGACTGTAGCTGCCCCTGGGAACCGTTCTCTCCTCTTTCTTCTGTGCCAAGTACTGAGGCACCACCCGTGATGGCTTGCCCAACCCATGGGCTTTCCTTACCTTCTCTTACTCTGCAGCGATGGTGGCGGGCTGCTCTCAGCATGTCCTTCGCACCCCTCTCTGGAATGAGGGACATAAATCTCTGCAAGGTGGTACCCCGCGTGCTGGGCTGGCCATGAGTGAGGGGTGTAGCTGCATTTCTCATGTGGGCCTGGTTCTGGAGGTCCAGGAGAACGGAGCTGATTCCTCCACGCTACCCTTCAGCCCTGGAACAAGGCAGACTCAGGTCTCATCTCAGTGTCCTGAGAACTGGCCCCCTTGGGCAACCTGAAGCTCAGGGGTTCTCCCCTCTGCATCTGTTCCTCATTCTTAAAGCAGGATGGAAATAAAGCCTCATGTCCCTGCGTTCCTGGGTCTTTGACAGGGAGGGCATGATTTCTGGAAAGAGCCACACATGGTAGCAATCCTACCCTCTGTGTCAGCTGCTTAGCCATTGCTGATCCCACTGAAGGCAGAAGAGGCCCTTAGCCCCTCCTCAAGGAAGACAGCATCCAGGTCAGGGGCTCTGCTTGTCCAGTGGTCAGAACCTGGCAGAGATGGGGATCAGATCTTAATCTAGATCGTGTGTAGAGGTGGAGTAACACTGGGCCCTGCCTGTGGTTCTCACCCCTGGACCAGGGCCACTGGAAGAGAACAGAACCTGTAACCTTCTCAGAGAGTCCAGTCTAACTGGATGTTGGGTTCCTGTGGGGCTCATCCTTGTCTCCTGGGACTTCTGCTTTTTCTCTTCTGGTAGCTGTTCCTTTATGAGAGCGCTGACATCCTGGGAAGTAAATTTATGAATCCTTTTTCCCCTTAGCCCTTGATCAGCTTCTGAGTCTGCTCCTGATATGTCCTACTGCCATTTAGGATCCCTGGAGAGAAGTGTTCAGATCCTTGGAATCAGCTGTCTTAGGGAACTGAGGGAAAAGAGATTGCCTGGGAGTTGGTAGCCAGGCCCTCACTTCTGCATCTGTCCCTACAAGCCTGATTCTGGGCTGCGGGGGTCTTGGGATGACTGAGCAAGAAGTATTCAAAGGCCGTTGATACTGTGGGGCAGGAGCCTTTATCTGAATCCTTTCTAGCACTTAGCTCTGAAGGGACATTTCTTATTGAGCAGGGGTCATCTGCAAAAGGATGAGAAGGCCTAGCGACCTCTGACAGGTTGTGATCCTGAATTGCACTGCTTTGCTCAGAGCTGGCCATCCATCCATGCCAGTTAAAGGAGGAGGCCCGATGGGACAAGGCTGGGATGCTTGCACTCATGCCTCCATCCCCAGCCAGGACGGGGCAGACGTTGCTAATCAATTTCACCCTCAGACCTGGGGCTCAGTATCCTTCTGGGATGCCCAGCAGGTGTTCAGTCCTTGACGCAGTAGAAATTGTGTGAGGAAGGCAATCCTTCAACCCAGGCTTAAGCTTTACCCGCTGCTTACCTGTGCTATTGATTTGGGGACACTTTTGTCCCTAAGTATCCATGCTGTCTGAGTGACTCAACCTGTGATCCCTCTGCTGTGTTGCTGTGGGACTGGAAGGATTCCTGACCTGTGAAGAACAGTGTGAAAGCAGGAGGTAGTGGCCTTCTCGCATGGGTGCCCTCCGTGTCATCAGCCTGGAAATAGTACTGTCACAGACGCCACACATGGGGCAGAGAGTGGACCTGCAGGGAGCTTCCTAGCAGAATTAGCAGTGGGGGAAGGCTTGAGGTTTGGGTATATCTACATTTTCCTCTATGTGCAGCTCTCAGTTTGGTAAATGAGACTGAGTAGCCAGTTCCCAAGAGGAAAAGGAAGCTCACGTCTTAAGTTCTCATGAGGCTCCGTGGGTCAGAGGCCTTCCCCCTTTTACAAGTGAGGAAACTGTGGCTCAGAGAGGTTGAATCCACCCTGCCCATGGTCACACAGCCACTAAATAATCAAGCCAAGCTATGAAGCTAGGTGTCCTCATCCACCTGTGTGCACCCCGGTGTGTAACATTCTGGTTCCCTTCCCCTCTCACGAAGCAACAGAGCTGTCCTTGCTCTTATCCCATACTCCACCTGCAAGTCAGTGGAGTCGCAAGGGAGAGGATGTACCCCTTTCAGCTTGGTGCCTTACCTATGCAGGGCCGGGCTGGAGGAGCCCCATCCCCTGCTTCTGTGGGGATCATGTTGAGGGTAGGGGGAGCCATTTCTAGCTTTCCTGGCAGTTTGGTAGAGAAGGAAGGTGCCTCTGCCAGCCTGGGCATTAGGTGTCCCCAAGAGCAGTGCTGAGCCTGCTGGGAAGTGGCTATTCCCTCCAGCTCAGGTAGGTAAGTCCAGGGCATCGTGGAGAGCCAGGGATGAGTGAGACCTGTGCGGAGCAGCAGCCCCAGCACCTGACCCCCAGTGTGGCTTCTGTAACCTTGGCACCCTTTTCAGCCAAGTGCCCTTACTCCGAGATTATACCCTTTTTGGCAGGCGCTTGTGCCACTGAGCTATATCCCCGGCTACTGTACCCTTTCTGGAAATGACCGGGTGGCATTACAAGTGGCTTGCAGCATTACAAGTACTGAAGAGTGGTCAGCAGCTGCTCTAGTTGGCCAGCATCCTAGCCCTGGCACAGCCGAGAGCTGTGAACAGCAGGTACTGCCCTGGAGGACGCCCTCCTCAGCCTCAGATCAGAGACCCTTACAGACACAGTTTCTTTCCAGGCCCAGGTGCTATGGGCTAGTGGGGTGTGGGGGGGGGTGCTCATTTGTTTAGCTGAACTGACTTCACAGTTAGGTAACCAGATCCCCACTGCTAGGTAGTTCCCCCCGTGGAGTGAGTTGTCTGTCCGCCTGGTCTGAGCACCACACCATGCACTAGAGCCCCACGGGAAGGAGGAATGGGAGCAGTGCCCTGAACAGATGCTGTAGGAAGGCCTGGGGGAACGTTGCTGGTGCAGGCTGAGACTGAGAGGTGCTGGTGCTCAGGCAAGGGAGAACAAAGGCCTTTTCAGTGGTGATTTTAAAAAGCTGGGGGCTGGTAGTGCAGCTCAGTGGTAGAGTGTTTGCCTAGCATGTGGAAAGCCCTGGGTTTGATTTCTAGCTCTAAAAAAAAAAAAAAAAGAGTTGGAGAAGCCAAACCCACTTGCTCACCTTCAGGATGGGGTGGGCCCAGACTGCAAAATAGCCACAAAGCAGAAGACCTGGAGCTGGGGAGAGGTGGAATCCATGAGGCCCTGTGGTCAGTCTCCAGCGCAGAACCTGCAAAGAAAAAAGTCAGATCAGGGGACGAAGCCATGAGCTCTGCCTCTCAGGTCTCTGGTAAGAAGCCAAAGGAAGCCGGGTACGGTAGCACTCTGCTGTACTCCAGCACTCGGCAGGGCAGGAGGATTGCCACAAGTTTGAGGCCAGTCTGGGCTGCATAGTGACTTCAAAGCCAGCCCAAAATACATAGCAAGACCCTGACTCCAAAAGAAGGCAGTGGCATAGGAAGGCTTGGGAGATCTTAAAGGCCAGAAGGTCAAGACAAGTCCCCATGTGAAGGTCTAGGGCTTTTTCTTCACCCTTTGTATATATTTGCAAACAGAGGTTGTATTCTTGGCTTCTGTGTGCCGAGGTTCTGATTCTTTCCAGGAGCATGGGCACACTGCTTAACACCCCCAGCCCTCCTTTTCCAGAAGTGGTGGACCTGGAACCTGTCACATACGACAGCTCTGTGGAAGATGGTATGTTTTGGATAATGATGTCTCCCCACAGGGCCTGGCACCTAGAAAGTACTCAGCAAACATTAGCTGCCACCACCTTTGTTACTGCTAGAAACTGGCATTGTGCCTCCCAGGCCCCTGCCTACCCTCTGCCTAGCAGTAGCAGGTTCGTGTCCCTTTTGGAGCATTTGTGGTGACAGATTGCCTTGTGTCACTCAGGGCATAGATAACCTGGGATAGAATTAACCCTGGGTGGCTCTCTAGGATCAGGGAATAGAGGTTTGTTCTGTGTGCACATCAGTCAGCCAAGTGCCAGGGAGCCAGAGAACAGATGAGAGGGAGGACAGACAGGCAGGACCCTTGGCTTTATGCGTGGCTACACTTATGCCATGCTGGGGACCCTTGTTCTTCCTGCCTGCTAAACCCCTGGATACTGCTGAGCCATTCCACAGTCAAAGCTCAGGCAGCTCTCTGTAGGTGCAGGGCTTGCTTTGGAGGCATGGGAATGGGGGCTGGCCCTTCCAGGGCCAGAACATGCCAGACTCAGCCCATGCTTTAAACAATGCCAAGGCCCACCCTTAGCAGCTGGCACCTCCATTTAGGTCCCCACCTCATCCCTGTCAAGGGTCTACTGATTTCTTTAGGATCAAACTGTAGTTCCTAGACCCAAGAAGATTGCCCAGTGACCTTGTGGAGCTGTGTCTCTGGCTCCCTGGTGTGTGCTGTAGCTCTGGCTGCCCTAACAAAATACCGTCAACTGAGATATGAACAACCCTGACTGGCCCAGACTTGTGGGCTCAGGTGATCCTCCTGCCTCAGGCTCCCAAGTAGCTGGGACTGCAGGTATACTCCACCATGCCGAGCTGGTGAATAACAGACAGTTATCTCACACGGTGCTGGACCCTGGAAATCCAAGGTTGGGGTAGCATGGTCAAAGTCTGGTGCGGGCTTTCTTCCTGGAATGCAGACAGCTGGCGTCTCGCTCTCCTCAGTAGCCTTGCCTGAGTGATTGCACTTGGAGAGAAAAAAGTTCAGTCTCTGTGTTTAGAGGGATATTAATCCCATCACGAGGGTCTTCTTAGCGTGACCTGTTCTACACCTAACTCCTCCTCAAAGACCCCCTACTAAATACCATCAATTCGGGAGTGAGAGCTTCAGTGTGTGAATGGGGGTAGGGGACACAGACACTCGGCCCATAACCGTGCTGCTTCTGAGGGAGGCCGTGGACGGGTCATGGCCGGGCTGTACCTGTTGCTGTGTGGCAGCTGGAGGAGCCAGCCAGCCTAGGGAAGAGCATTTAGGAAGGAGGCGCCCTCTGCCTCGGAGCCCACCGTGCTGAGCCTCCCTCCTCCTCCTCTGTGGAGGTGGTGGTCACAGTGCCTTCCTCAGGGTCATTGTGAGCAGCAGAGGGCCTGATGAATGAGCTTTGAACGTGGTGCCACGTGGTACCGGGTAGCCCCTGTGAGGCCCTTTAGGTGCCTCATTTCCTTTAATTCTCAAAAAAATGCCGCCAGACAGGTCTTTTCCTCCTCACCTTTAAAGGAAATTGAGGCTCAGAGAAGTGAAATAGCTGAGCTGGCATTGTCAACGGGAAAGAGAGGGGCAGCTGCCAGCGATGAAGATGGGGCAGTGTGGACCCCCTTCATTTCTGGGGGTTGTGGCCAGGTGATGTTAGTGATTTGATATTGAAGGGACAGCGGTGTCCCTTCCAGCTGCTGTTTCTCACCTGGGGCGGGGGTGGGATGCTCCCGGAGGGAGTGCTGCCCTGCCACCCCCTGCCTTCCCTCCCAGCACCCTGTGTCCTAGTACAGGGGCACGCCTGCCTCCTCAGAGGTCCGTGCACCGGGGGAAGACACACAGGGACGTGCACACGCAGCACTGGGTCCCACACGCCCGTAGAGACTCACACTCATGAGGACACGGGGACACACAGCCCCACTCCCGCACTCTTGCCTCACATGCAAGGCTCCCGCCTTCCTAGCATGGTGGGTCCCCTGAGTTGCTGCTGGGGTGCTGTCTGGGAGCCTCTGCCTGCCGGGTCGGAAAGGCGGGGCAGGGCTTTCAAGTGCTCTGCTGAGTCATTGCTGCGTCTTCCTTTGTCGCTGCCTCTTCTCATCCCTCCCTCGCTGGCAGCGCTGTCTCCTCCTGGGCTGTCTGTCCTGGGCCTCTCTCCGAAACACGGTTATACGGATGTGGCTGTGCTGCAGTTCTGTTGCTGTTTACTTAGGTGTTGTTTCAGCCCGACCTTCCCCACCAGCACTGGGCTTCCAGCGGCACTGCCGCCAGGGTCCTAGAGTGTGGGGCAAAGCAGGACCACCAGCCTTGAGAATGTATCTGTCCACAGGCCCGGGAAGTCCTGTGGAACTGACCCTGCCAGTTCCCCCTTTGCCCTTCTCCTGCTCACCCCTTGTTTCTCCCTGGAGTCCAGCCCCTTTGGCCAGTGTCTGGTGGGGACCCAGTCTACTTTCTCAGGGCTGGAGGCTCGTTCTTCCCATTTGCTGGGCATTTCTCTATGGGCTGATCTGCTAGTTTCCAAGCGGGCTAGGATCCAGAAGCTTGATCCAGTTTGAAGAGAGCGGCTCTGGCATTGGGGGAAGGTCATGGTAATAGAGCTGCAGCCACCACTTTTCCATCAGCCAAGCCCCAAGGGGCCTGTTTGTGCCAGGCACTAAGTCACACACTCACACACTCCTGGAATGGCCCTTGTAGGTAGGATATAGTACAGTGCTGGAGCCAGGTACAGTGAGGCTAACTGAAATGTAGTGAGACATCCTGGCTTTGTGGCTTGTCTTAGAAAAATGAGGGTAGGGCTGGGGATTTAGCTCAGCGGCAAAAGCGCCTGCCTGGCAAGCGCAAGGTCGTGAGTTCGGTTCCCGGTACCGGAGAAAAACCAAAAAAAAAAAAAAAAAAAAAAAAAAAATGAGGGTTGGTACATAAATAAGGATGAGGAGGGGCTGGGTGACTGCTGTGATGTTAAAAGTACAGCATAGAACTAGATTCAATCTGTCCCTTGGAGTCTGCTGGGCTTGCAAGGTTAGGGGAGCAGTCTATGCTCATGAATTCTGACTTGCAGCTTCTGAGCTGAGCTTAGGGTGCCCTCTGCTGCTTGCCACGAGAAGCTCAGCCCCTTCGTATACTAAAATTCCAGTCTGTCAGTCACTGGCCCACAGAGACGGTCCCTTGGTTCTGTCCTCCTGGGCTGTGGGACTTCCTTCTGTGTCCCTGCTTCCTTGAAGACCTCAGTGTTCCAGGACCCTCTCCGGATCTTCCTGCTGCAGATTCAGCAGTCCATGTCCCCAGCAGCACTACAATGTGCCCTGCAGCACTGCATTTCCCTAAGTGACACTCTCTTGCTTCTTCTGAATGCTGTCACCCAGCCGACTGCCTGCCCTCTGAAGTGGGAGGGGTGTGGGTGAGTGATGAGTCATGGCCTTGGGAGGCTGGCAGCCTTCCTGCCTTTCCACTTATGGGCACCAGCGTCCCCACATAAAAGCATCAACTATTCGGTTCTAGCAGCCAGCTGGCCACGATGAGCTGAGCTGCCTGGGATGGTGCTGTGCGGCCTCCATGCCTGTGGTGTGCCTGCTCAAGCTGCACCTGCTCCTGGGGGCTCTGCTGCCTTCAGCTCCTACAGAGTCAGGAAGTTCAGGAGGCTGCAGGCAGTGGAACCAGGCATCATACAGTCCCCAGTGCACTGGGCAGTGAGAGTATGAGGCCTCCCTGCTTCTCCAGATGGGGAGTGTGCCACCTACTGGGGAGACATTGGGTTTTCGTGCTCTTTGTTACGTGTCCTGACCTTCAAGCTCTTCCAGGCCATCCCAGCGTGGGGCAGGGGTTGCCCTCACTGAAAGCCTCCCGGGCTCTTGGGCATCTGAGAGCAGAGACCATTGAGTGCCCCTGCCGCTCACTGTGTTGTCTGGAATAGATAGCGAACTGCGCCAAAGCTCAGTTTCCTTGTCTGTGAAATGAGCATAAAGACTTGGCCACAGCATACTGTGTAGGTCAAACCAGGTAATTTAGGCAGTGTTCGTACGCAGCATACGATACGTGCACTGGGGAAAGCATATGGCATCCGCCTCACATGGCAAATACCCAGCTTGTATGAATTCACAACTTACCTCCATTTACCTGCCCGGCAACCCCTTGATCTGTGTGGGCCAGCAGGACTGTCCCTTGGCTTTCAGGTGAAGTACCAAGGTAGAGACAGGCTCAAGCCTGCTGGGAGCCCATGTCTCCGGTTTCCTGCTTGCTCTGAGTTTCCCACTCTGTTGCCTGTCCTGTCCCCGCTCCTCTACTCCTTGTTGACTCAGCTGTCAGGCCACAGGTATCCAGGCAGGTGTGACCCCTACTCAGGACCCTGCCTTTCCTGTCTGGTCAGGAGAACTGAAATGTGAGGTCTCAGCTTCCTGCAGCCCTCGGAACCCCCCCTGGCCCCTTCTCATAGCCTCTCATATTGCCTCATGTTAGAGAGTTCTTTGGCTGGTCACCTTCCCACTGACATGCCACCCCAGTTATACCCAAAATGCTGATCTCTCCCTGCTATGAGCCTGTGCTTATAATGGTCTCTTGATAGGAATATCCCCTTCTTCACCTGGCTGACTTCTTGCGAACACTGGTTTCAAGCCACCATCTCTGTGAGACAGAGAGAGAGACAGAGACAAAGAACACGCACACACAGTCCTGCCTTTTTTCTTGTATACTGGGCCTTCCCATTGAGTTACATCTCCAGCCCTTTTTTTTTGAAACACGATCTACTAAGTTGCTAAGTTGTCCAGGCTGCGCTCAAACTTGTGATCCTACTCCCTCACGTCCCCAGAGTGCTGAGATTACATGTGTACACTGTCATGCCTGCTTCTAGCTGCCCTGTTTAAAGCTTTCCCTGTCATTTATCCTCACTGCAGGACACTGCAGTGCCCCTTCCTGACCTCCAGGTGAGTGTTTGTCACTACCCCCTATCCTCTGACCCTCTTCCACAGCACCCAGAAGGGACTCAGAAATGTTTGTTAAACAAAGACAGATGTGCATAAGCCTCATCTTTTAGCAGGCCAATGAGATGGAGGGGACATCCCAAAAGTGGGCCTGAGAGGAGGTATAGGGAGTAAACTCTCCCCAGGGGGAGAACATCTCCAGAAGGTCACCTTGCTCCTGCTAGAGTGAGTGGGCCCAGCACATCCCGCCCATCCCACCCAGGCTGGCCCTGACTCAAGCCCTTCCCCCACCATGCCCACAGCACCGGCAGCTGCTGAAGGACAGCTTCATGGTGGAGCTGGTAGAGGGGGCCCGCAAGCTGCGCCACGTCTTCCTGTTTACGGACCTGCTCCTCTGCACCAAGCTCAAGAAGCAGAGTGGAGGGTGAGTGACAGTGGGGCTCCTGTCGCATCCAGGCAGTGACCCCAGCCCAGTGCTCGAGGAGGGGAGGATCTCTCTGGGGAACATAAGTAACACTGTGGCCAGGCCCTTCTCTTTACATTCTGTTTGCACCTGGCCATGATGTCAGGATCAAGGTCAAGGTTGTCACCAACAGCCTGGAAAGATCATGGGACAAGGTGTGACTTGGGTTTATGGGGTATACCTGACTGGGACTTCATGTGTGGTTGGAGGAAAGTCATCTGCAAAGAGTGAGTGTAAGGTTGGGTTTGCAGGGGCTGGTACAGGCTAATGGGGGAGGGCATGGCCAGCCCTCCCTTGAGCCAAGTGATGGCTTTGGAGTTACTCTCATAAGCCTGCAGAGTCAGTGCCCTACCCCATTGGCATCAGATTATCCCGGGTCATACAAGGTTGGAATGGAGCAAAAGGTCACACCGGGAGGGACTACAAGCGGGCACTTCTCTGCATTCTGCTGTTTTGTGCTGGGTGGACTTAATCAGTCAACTCAGAAGACAGCCTCCATTCTGCATCTGTCAGATGAAAAGATTGTATCAGGTAGAGCTACAGTCCCTCCAACGCTGCAGCTCCGGACTTCAGTCCTGTCCTGTCATTGAGCAGCCTTGCTGTGCTTCTTCATGAGCCCCTGACAGGAGGAGCAGCCCCGGATGAGAGAGATCAGGACTTCTCAGATGTCCTGGGGCCTGGCGCCATGTGTGGAGAGCCGGTTGGGGATTCACTGAGTGTGTGGCCGCCGGTGTCTGTTCACAGCTTCATCCCAGCCTTTCACATGCAGTATGACCCAGCGGTTCAGTTGGGCAACTGCACAGCCCAGCCCTAGGGTTTCCCAGTCCTTAGAAACAATGATAGTGACGAAGGTGGTCACTGTGCTAACATTCCCCTTCTCTCACCCAGCAAAACCCAGCAGTACGACTGCAAATGGTACATTCCGCTCACGGACCTCAGCTTCCAGATGGTAGACGAGTCAGAGGCAGCACCCAACATCCCCCTGGTGCCGGATGAGGAGCTAGATGCCCTGAAGATCAAGATCTCCCAGATCAAGAGTGACATCCAGAGAGAGAAGGTGTGGCTGGCTGGGGTAGTGAGGACCAAGGGTCTGTGTGGCTTGAGTGGCAACATCCCCTCAGACGTTGAGCAGTGGGCTTTCTCTCGCTGGGCATCTGACCTCAGACCTGCTGGGGACCCCATGAGCTCTCAGAGTTGGAATGTTGGACATCTGGTCATACCATGGTTGTTTTAAGCACCCCTACTAACCTGGGATTCCCACCTGAGAGCCTCTAGCAATCTAGCCATGATAGGAAGTAGAGGGCTTCTGGCCCTGGGCATTCGGTGTGCCTTTCATGGGATGCTTCGTTTACCTGGCAGATGCCAGGTCTAGATCGAGGCCTGGTGCCTGGTCCTAGTCGTCAGACCTGTGACCAGGAAATCCTGCTGGAGAACGTGTTTATATGGCAGATGCCCTTGGGCCTGTTATTTAACCTGTGTCCAGTGTACGAGTACTGAGAAGCTGACCATGGGTTTTCTTTAGTATCCCAGGGGAAACCTGGCCTGGGGTAGCCCCTAGCTCTTCTCATGGAAAGTGCAAATTCAGTGCATAGAAAATGAGCTCACAAGTGATCACTTACAGATCCTGAGCAGGGTGGGCACGGTGTGTTGGGAGGGTAGCACTCAGCCCCAGGAATGCGAATTGGGCAGAAGGAGCGCATATGGGGCAACTAGCAGTCATACAGGACTGAGGTATGGGTTGCTTTAGATTAACATACAGTGCCTAAAGGGTCCTTTTAGAAGGAATGATGGGAATAGCAGGGAGCCTAGTGCGGTGAATGAGAGACGCCTCCAGGTTCTCTCCAGCCACCTGCTTGAGTGATTGCTGTGGACTCGTCAAGGCCGGGCGGTGGGCTGTGCCGTGTGGGCTCATTCCACAGATGAAATGCTGAATCACCAAGAGAAAAGTTGCACCCAGGCCGTGAAGAGATTGTAGTCCAGGAAAGGGGGCTGGGGAGGTGCCAGCTGTCCCCTTAGAGCTGTCCTGACTGGGGAAGCGGGCAAGGCCCGGGTGAGGAGTGTAGCCCCTCCAGCTGTTCTGCACTGCAGGCCCCCGGTTCTTTCCAGAGAAGTTTAGAAGGCATGGGGATAGTGACGATGAGTTCCTTACTTCGAGAGCTGGCCCAGGCCAGGGGCGATGACTTACACTGAGCACAGACAAGGTGGGGCCCTTGAAGGCTGGACCTCGGTCCAGGGATGCCTGGCTGAGGTGGACTCAGCAAGACGGGGGTCCTCCCCTGTCCAGCCCATTGCACCGTGAGCCTCGCATACCTAGGAGTGTTAGGGTGTTTGCTTAGGTGTTGCTGTGGCCTCCGCGGTGGTGTCCCCAGCAGAAGGAGAGCCATTCGTGTCCTCGGGCGCTGTTGAGCCCTGCTGACTGCTGCCACAGCATTGTCCACACTGTGCCCTTCTTTGGGGGCCTAGGGCCAGGCGCCACTAATGGCAACACGGCCTCCTCTTTCCAGAGCAGTGGGGCTTCAAGAAGGGCCACATAGTTTTAGGACAGGGAGGCTTTTCCCACCCATAAAATTTCCCACCCATGGGACCCCCCCATAAAATTTCACCCCGATGGTGAAATATTTACTCTGGTCAGGGAGAGGGTGAATGGTCCCCCAGGTTACAGAAGCCCCCTGGACATTGCGTTTGAAAAAACGGAAAGCAAGGACATCTTGAAAGATCTGTCCCTTCTACCCTAAAAAAGAAAAGACTGATTCCCTTCAAGAAGGGTTTATTGAGCATGTCCTGCAGCCTGCGCCAGGCCTTGACCCAGAGAAAAGGTTTGGGGCCTCACAAGGCTACCTGTGATGGGCTGGCCCCAGGACCTAGGCTGTGTGGGACAAAAAGATGGGATTCTCGACCTCTTCAGGCACAGGGTGAGGGATGGTGGGGACCAGTCACATAGCAGCAAGTAGAGCCAGCCTCAGAATGGAAAGGCAGACTCTGTCCTATCCCCACAGAGGGCAAACAAGGCCAGCAAGGCCATGGAGAGGCTGAAGAAGAAGCTGTCTGAGCAGGAGTCGCTGCTTCTGCTCATGTCTCCCAGCATGGCCTTCAAGGTCCACAGCCGCAACGGCAAGGTGAGTGTCTACCCCTCAGCTCTCCTTAGCCCTTGTCGCTGGCTCATGTGTGCCCTTTGCAGATGCAGCCCTTTTTGTCCCAAGAATGTCCTGCAAGGGACTGGGGATTTAGCTCAGCAGCAAAGCACCTGCCTGGCAAGTGCAAAGTCATGAGTTCGATTCCTAGTACCAGAAGAAAAACAAAAAGCAAAAACAAGAACATCCTGCAGCAAGAGAGATCAGGCTAGGTGTAGCACACACGGGCTCATGTGCTTCTTTGTCTGATGTTTAGGGCCATAGCCCCAAACTGAGTGGCAGTTGCCATAGCTCACAGAGCTGGGAAATGGTGGGGGTCTTCCAAGGGAGAGTAAGTGAATGGCCTTACAGATTTGCAGATCCCTGGGCACAGAAATGCTGTCTGGAGACTTCCGGGGCCAGAAGCATACCTCTCCTGGCACTGTCTGCAGCCTGGGCCTCTCCCTCCACAGCATCACGTGCATAGGTCAATGTGCAGAAGGGTTTGCTCTCTCAGCACCTGGGCAGAGAGGCTTCAGTAGCTCACAGGAACCTGTTCTCTGGGTCACAGCACAGGCTTGTGGTGTGGATGGAGGAGTTTGGGCTGCATCAGCCCTCACCTCCCCAGACCCCAGCTGCTAATTCCTCACGTCCCTAAGCTACAGCTCCTGTTCCAGTGTCCTCTGACCCATGTGTTTCAGGTGGGGCTGGGCTACAGGTGAGCCTGTACAGTGCACAGGAAGGGCAAAGCATGTTGGAAACAGCCTGGCCATGTCCACACCTGGCCACAGTGGCTCACCTGAGCTCAGCCAGGTGGCAACGGGGAGGTGCAAGTCTCAGGTTCTGCACCCTGAGAATGCCAGGTGCTGGCTTAGCCAAGGTGGAGATAACTGGGCACTGGGTGTCTTCTTCTTTTCACCCACCCTAGAGTTACACATTCCTGATTTCTTCTGACTATGAGAGAGCTGAGTGGAGGGAAAACATCCGTGAGCAGCAGAAGAAGTGTAAGTGACCGCTGCATCCAGGGGCCTCAGCCTCTGGGCATCGGGGCCCGACGGATATCTCCTGTGGCTGATGTTTTCAGGGAGGGGCTTTTATCCAAATGAAATGTTACCTTATTTTTTAAAAATGAGTCAAGAGAGGACCTCCCCCATCCTCTTGTACCCTCCTCCCTGTCTTCCCCCACCCCTACCCCGTGTCATTCCCCGCCTGCCCTGGGCACCTCACCTGTGATAGTCCCCTAGTCATTCCCTCATCCCGTGTGCCCGTCCCCGGTCCTGCACATACAGCCCACCGCTGTCAGCACCCACCCCTGGCCTTTTTTGCACCCCGCCACTACCCTGCCTCTTTCGGTCTCCCCCATCTCTTTACATTCTCTCCCTACCCAAGTTCTTCTCTGCCCCCCACCAATATTGCTGGTGCCAGCTGGGCCCTTGGCTGAGCCCATCTGGGCAGCCACATTGCTGGCCCCTGTCCACTTGGCTGGGCCTCTCAGGACAAGACACCGCTCTCTGTAATGGCCCTTTCCTTCTCTGGGCAGTTCCCTCTATTAGCAGTTTCTTCTCCAGAACGCCAAGCTGTACATGGGGTATTCAGGACTGGGGAGACAGACCTCACCCCAGCTCCTTGGGCTGCAGCTGTCCACCTGCCCACTCATCCCTCTTGTAGGGCAAGTCAGGCCAAACACTCTATCCTGGTGGTGCAGTCCTTCCATGGGGGTAGACGGTCTCCTTCCGGACCAGGGTCTCTGCCTGCCTCCAGCCTGTCCCGAGCTCCCGTGACCTCAGGCTCATCCTTCATTGCCATGCTGAGCCAGTCTTCTGTTTTAATATTGCTGTGTCCCAGCGGGCCAAGGGGTCCTGCCAGGGCTCACGTCTCAGGGATTCCTGCCGTGTCATGGGTCCTGAAACCATCCAGCTGGCAGCATCTGTTCCCTGCCCAGCTGTGTCCTGAAAAAAGCCCCTTTTCCTCACCTGGTGGAGAGACAGGGGCCTGTGTTACAGAGCGGGGGACAGAGCCACACTGGTGTCTGTCTGGAAGACCTCCCGGGGATGTGCTATCCGGCTGCCCTCTCCTCCTCAGTCCTGCCTGTTGGGGAGGGGGTGTGCCTAGGGTGGGTGTGGATGCGTGTTTGTAAGCATGATGCCCCCGTGAGCCTGAGGGCGGGGAAGCTGTGCTGCTCCACCTGCTTCACCTCGGAGCCACCAAGCCCCAGCCACTGAGCGGCCCTCCTGAGCCCGCTCCCTGCTGGGCGGTGAGGGTCAGGCGGGAGGGGCACAGGGAGCAGGGTAGACTGACCAGTCTCTGCGTCTGCTCCAACCTCTTAGGTTTCAAAAGCTTCTCCCTGACATCCGTGGAGCTGCAGATGCTGACCAACTCGTGTGTCAAACTTCAGACCGTCCACAACATTCCACTGACCATTAACAAAGAAGGTGAGGCCCCCTCCTGGGCGCAGAGCTGGGAGCCAGTGAGAGCCAGGCCTTCTCCCTCCATCAGCCCTGTCCTCGTGGCCAGTGGATTTTCCTTCAGAGGGAGTGTGTGCTTGTTGTGCCTGTTGTCTCTCCCAGGAGTGACAGAGCTCCTCAAGGGGTCTCTCCCCAGGCGTCTGCTGGGGAGCTGCGGAGATGGATGGTTTCATCCCTCGTCACAGCGCTCCTCAGCCCCTCTGCGCAGCGGATCCGGCCCCACTTCCCTGTCTTCCCCGAGCTCCTCTCCTCTGGGCATTCGCTGCCAACATTCCTTGATCGTGCTGGGTTTTGCACACACACGTGTGCGCACGCACACATACATGTGCATACCTGTCACACTCAGTGACCCTCTCCGTCTTTGGAAGTTTAATACTCTTTATCTTGATCACTGGTTTGCCTGTGTGGTGATCCCAGCTACATCCTAAGGTCCCAAACACAAAGCCCACCAGGAGCTCATTTTTGATCAGGGCACAGCCTTGCCCTGTGCCTGGGTGATTTGATTTTAAGGTGAAACCAGCTTCTCGGTCTTCCTGCTCCCAGGAGGACATATGCTCACCTCTTCGGTCTTTTGTGCAGATGATGAATCTCCTGGGCTCTACGGGTTCCTGAATGTCATTGTCCACTCAGCCACCGGGTTTAAGCAGAGTTACAGTAAGTGATTGGTTTGGTGAGGAAGGGACTGGGTTGGAGGAGTGCTGAGCAGGAGTCTGCACCCAGGAAGACAGGGCGTGGGGCAGGGAAGTTGTTCAGGTGACTAGCAGAGGCCTGTGGTTGCTGACCACTGTGAGGTGCTGGTGCTAGTTGCGGCCCTCCCTACTGCAGAATCGTTTTCCCTAATTCTCTCTGCCCTTTCTCCTGCCTGTCTCGGATCCTGCAAGCTAGTGAGCTGCCCTCTGCTGGTGAATCTTGTAATCACAGGAGCCAAAGTTTGATAGAGACCTGGTGGGAAACTGGTGGCAGTCCCAGTGTCTGAGAACCTAAGTTCCAAGCCAGCAGCTGTCAGCAGTGGGCCCTGGGCCCCATCAGCACTGGAGATCGGCTTTTCTGTCAAGCTGGATAGATAATGCCATTTTCTCTCCCAGCTTCTCAAGCTGTCAGGACAGTAAAGCTGACATCACAGCAGTTGTGCTGACCCCCGGGTGTGGAGCCCCAGCCAGTGCTCAGGTCCTCTGTAGGACAGCAGAGGTGGAAACAGTTCTGACCTTTCCACACCCGCTGCAAAACAAGAGGCCCCCCGCCAGTCACAGGATGAGAGGAAAGAGTTGAGTACATGTGATAAGGAACTTGTGTCCAGAGAATATGCAGAACTCTTACAGCCAAATAATAGGGAGACAGCCAGGTTTAAAAATGGGCAGAAGAATAAGCCTGAGACATTTCCAGGTAAATGGATGCAGCTGGAGACCATGCTCTTCGGTGAAATAAACGGGACACACGTGAAAATACCTCGTCATTTCATTGGTGTGAGAAACTGAAAGTGTACATAAGAACCAAAACATGAAATAGAAAGAAAGTGTTCAAATGGGGAGGGGAACAAGAGGGGGGAGAGGGAGAAAAAGTAAAAAAAAAAGTGAGAAAAGAAGGAAAAAGGAAACAAAAGCTTGTGTAAATGGGGAGGGGAGGAGGGGTTGGAGAGAGGGTAGAGGAATGGGGAAAAAAGAATCAAGAAATGAAAGATAAATTAAAAGGTGTAGGAATGGAAGTGTGGGGATCCGGAGACTCTGAGCTGGCTCTGGGCAGGGTTCCCAGGCAGCTGCAGGTACACAGGCCCCAGGGGACGCTGGCTTTTCCTCCCACCAATAGCCGAAGCCGTGGGCGGCCCCCATTCTAGGGCTTCAGGAGCCCCAGGCCTGGCTCTACCAGGGCATGAAGCCGGTTTCTGACCCTCAGGGTGTTCAGCTCTAAGCAGCTTCCAGCCCTCTCAGTCCTAAACTGGAAACCATAAGACACCTAGACAAGGACATAGGACAAAGTCTTGCTGACCTCGGCAATGGTTTTTTATCTACAGCACCAAACCGCACAGCCAGGAAATAAACCATGGATATGTTGATCTTCATTAAAATTTAAAACTTCTGCTCTGTGAAAGTTACTGTGAACAGAAAGACAAGCCATAGACTGGGAGGAAATATTTACAAAACATAGCTAATAAATGACTGTTATCTAGAATACACAGAAACCCCAGCAGAAGATTTGGATAGATACCTCACCAAAGACCTATGACTAGCTAATAAGCATATGAAATGTAATCTCCGTGAGTTAGGGAAATGCAAGTTAAAACCACATGGAGGTTCCCTGAGGACCCTGATCTAGTCAAGGTGAACACTGACAAATGTTGGCTAGGGTGTGCAGGAAGAGGAACCTCATACTCTGCAGGTAGAGATGCACCATGGTTCAGCCACCCTGAAAGCATTGCAGTTTTGTTCTGTTTTGTTTCGTTTACTCCTGAGGATCAAACCCAGGGCCTTGTGCAATCAGCGTGTGCTCTGTCGCTGACCACACCCCCAACCCCAATTGAACAGTTCCTTAAGAAGTTAAACACCTCCCACATCACATATCCCACCAATCCCGCTCTTTTTTTTGAGGTAGGGTCTCGCTATGCAGTTCAGGCTGGCCTTGAACCCACTTTGTAGCCCAGGATGGCCTTAAACTTGCAGTGATCCTCCTGCCTCAGCCTCCCGAGTGCTGGGATTACAAGTGTGTGTCCCCACGCCCAGCACCAACCCCACTTGTAAGTATTCATTTTAGAGAAATAAAAACATTTCCACGTGAACGTTTATACAAAGCAGGACTTATCCATGTAGTGGATGACAATATTAATGATAATGGCATTATCTAAATGACAAAAAGGAACAAGGTGCTGATAGAGGGAACACATACTACACGGGACAAGGAAACCAGATGTAGCTCTCAAACTTGCTGCTCTTATTTTATGTCTCGCCCCAGTGAGGTGCGTGTGTGGTGTACCACATCCAACCCCTGAGCTACTGTCCTGTTTCCTTGCCCTGTCCACTAGACACTGTTCTCCACTGCTGGCACTTCATCATCTCTGGCCACCTCCACCCAGGCCCTTGGCAGTGGCCTCCTTCCTGGTCCCCACCGGCAGGTCTCCCCCACATGCCCACCTACAGCTTTTTCTAAAACACAAACCCCACCCTGTTTATACCACTTAGAGCCATCCAGACCCTGCATACAGAGCACTCTGTCTCACCCCTAGATCTTACCACCCTCCTCTCCCCATGGACCCCACAACTTTCCCAATACTAAGCTGCCTCCTGTGCCCCACATTGGCCCGGAGCCCCTGTCCCCAACTCTGCCTGGTACAGTTCATGTCCAGGTGTGCTCACATTATAAGCGCTGTTCCCTCCTCCGCCGACCCGTGCCGTGGCTTTGCTGTGTCACAGTGCCCTGGGTTGCAACGGCACATTCATCTCTGGTCCTTTCCACCCAGGGCTCATGTCACTGTCACAGCTGTGGCCAGGCATTATCAGGTGACCAAGTAAGTGAACGTTCAGCCACATCCTATTCCCTAGTCCCTCGGGCAGAGCAGGGGTACTGCGTGAAGTGCTGGTATTCATGCCAGCTGTTAGTTTATTTTTATAAAGGAAGTGAACATCCTTTTTTTTTTTTAATACTTTTTTGAAAGTGATACCTGCTCTTACAAAGAGAATGTAGGTGATTTGGAAAAGTACCTTCACTTCTCCCTGTCACTTGCCCACAGATCTGTACTGCACCCTGGAAGTGGATTCCTTTGGATATTTTGTAAATAAAGCAAAGACTCGAGTCTACAGGGACACAACTGAGCCCAACTGGAATGAGGTAAGGCGTCTGCTTCCACCAAGGGCTTCAGCCGGTAATTTCCACTAGAGTCTAAACCTCCGGGGGTTCCCTAAGAGCTTCCCCTGAAGGCCATGAAACCCATGCAGCTGGTGTTCCTGGAATCTCCTGGGGCAGGCGGGGGGGAAGGGGGGATTGACGTGGCCAAGAGATTTTAATCTCCAAATTCCTGAGAATCTTAACCACCCACCTCCCATCACAAAGAAACAGCCTATTTTGCCAGGGAAGTGTTTGGAAAGCACACTTCAAAGGGCTTTTTGTCCAGCCTTTGTTACTGCCTAGTATTTACTTACTAGGTTTCCATAGCGCTTTTCCTCAGAAGCTGGAATGAGCCTTCTATGGTGCTTGGTTTCCAGAAACCTGGGGCTCGACCCATGGCGGCTGGGTTGGGGGCCACATACCCAGCTCCCTGGGCCTTGCTGGTCTGAAAAGGTCCTGTTTGCAGTCTCAAGGTATTGAGTTTGTATAGTCTATTGCTCTCCCTTCCGTGACCTTGGAGGGCTGCTGTATTTGGCCTTGAGCCTTTGGTAATCAGGGCATCATTGCAGAGAGGCCCGTATCTATGAAGTCCCCAGATCCATGAGGTACCATTTCCAGGTGGAGCCCCAGGCCCAAGAGAGCTGCCTCCTGTGCCCTACCCTGCACAGGAGAAATATTTGAGCCGCTGGGCAGTTTGGCTTAACCCTGTCAAGTGGCTAGCAGGCCAAGTGGCGGGAGCAGAAGCGAGGCCTGCTGGCTCAGCGGCCACTACTCTGTGTTTATTAGGCTTGTTGCCTGACTGGAACAAGGGCGCAGAAGTCCATGTGGTTACCTATTCACTGTAGCTCTGGGTGCCCCTGCCAAAAGGGCCAAGTGGCAGCTGTGGTAGAGTGGGAGGTCTCTCAGAGCCTCTTGGGAGCCATCATAGAATGTCTTGTAGAAAGCAAGGGTGGGGGGTGCACCCTGGAGAAGCATCAAGGAAGGGGTTCTAGGAGACTGAAAAGGTTCAGGTGCAGGACAGCAACCAAAGCTCCAGAAGCAAGAAGGCATGGAGGGTTCCAAGTGGCAAGTCACCTGGTATCCCTGCAGATCAGATGGGGGGGTTGTACACTCCTGGTTCAGCCTTCTCACCCTCCTCGGTTTCCCTGCCTAGAGCCCATGCCTGCAGAGGAGTGGGTATGAAATCGAGTTCACAGAAAGTATTGTATGGGTGATGGTGAAACAGGTTAACTCCACGTACCCACAGCAGACAACTTAAAAACCCAGGGGAGCATTCCACATCCTTCTATATCGTGTCAACTTCCATGCATCAGTTAAAAAAAAAAAAAAAATTTCTTGTATATTTAATTTTATTTTATGAAGCCAGGGATGGAAAGACGGAGTTGTGCATGCAAAGCACATGCTGTCGTTAAGCTGTAGTCCCTTTCTCATTGTTGAGACAAAATACCTGACACCCAAAGTAAAAGGAAGAAAGCTCATAGAGTGGCACGGCAGAGGGGCATTTCAGGGGAGAAACAGCCCAGGGTATGGCAGGGCAGGCAGAAGGCAACAAGCAGCCAAGTAGTGAAGCAGCAAACAGCAAAGCAGCAGCTGCCTTCTTTCTGTCCCTTTCTGTTCCATCTGGGCTGCAAGCGTATCGATTGATGCTACCCACACCCAGAGTGCGGCGCCCTTAACCCTGTCATCACACCCTTACCCACATTCTCACACCCTAATCCAGCCCCCTTTGAAGCCCCCCACCTATCACTATATAAGGCTTTGGGAGGACATCTAGATAAAAGCCACGGCAACCCCCAACCTATATTTTATTTCTTTGGAGCAATTTTAGGTTCACAGCAAAACAAAAAAAAAGCATTCCCACAAACCTCCTACCCCACCCCAACTGTTGAAATGTCCACCAGAATGAGACATATATTATCATTGGTAAACCAGTATCGACACATCCATAGATGATAATAGGATTCCCTCTTAGTATCATATAATCTATGGATTTTGACAAATGTATAATAATACATATGTACCATAATAGTATCATACAGAATAATTTCACTGTCCTGAAATGAACCCACGTATATATAATATTTTCACCCATTCTCCTGCATTAGTCTCCTAAGTAGCTGGGAGTATAGACATGTGTTATCATACCTGGTACCTGCCATCCCTGAAAAGCTGGTGCCTACCATCCCTGAATATCTGCGTTTTGAACAAGCACCCCTGAGATTCTGGTGTAGTGGTGTAGGAACCAGCCTGGGAGATTCTGGTGTAGAGAGTTTGAATTAGGTTTGAGAGAGATGCAGAGCTGGATGAGCATGTATGCTGGGCCACACCATAGTGGCAGTGACACACAGGGAGTGCTCCTTAGGATGTGAAGACTGCGTGAAGAGTGTCTCAAGGCAAGGCCTCTCTGGGGCAGGAAGGCACTTTGTTGGCAGGCCATGGTTCAGAGGCCTCCTCTGCCCATAGTACTGACCGCCACACACTTGAACCTGCTTGTCCATGCACAACTTTTCTTCTTTTTTGGCCCATAGGAGTTTGAGATTGAGCTGGAAGGCTCCCAGACCTTGCGGATATTGTGCTATGAAAAGTGTTACAACAAAATGAAGATTGCCAAGGAAGATGGCGAGAGCACGGACAGGCTCGTGGGGAAAGGCCAGGTCCAGGTGAGGCTTCCGCTCCCTCTTCCCCCTCGGGATGCCCCATGATCTTTTTCCTATGTGGGGTTTGGGGACAGTGAGATGGCCTGGTTCCTGAGGTGGGTGGGCAGGTGGAGAGCTGAAATGCCAGCCGTGGGAGGCTTGGGCTGGCTCCTTCTTGGGTCCTTTCCTGCTCTTTCATCTGTCTGCATATCTTTTATATCCCTTTATGACCCCAAAGGAGTTTCTGTTAAATTTCTCAGCTCCTCCATGGCCTTGGGAAAGCACACTGGCAGAATAAGATTAGGTGGTACCACGGGTTTAAATTGCTAGTTACAGGGCCATGTCTGTATGAGTCCCGGAGTCTGCCCACTTGAATTCCATTCCCTGGGGTCTGAACCCAGTTTCCGGCTGCATCCCGCAGCAGGGCCAGTACAAGTCCCCGAGAGTCAGTATAGAAGCCCCCGAGTGGGCCAGGAGAATGTGTCTATACAGGACCAGCGGAGGGTCCCAGGTCCTCAGGGAGAACCACACAGAGCTTCGGTCCACTGTATTCAGCCCTTGGAAACTACTACCGTATTTCTCACTTCCTGGATGACAGGAGCTGGCACCAACTGCCTGACCCTGGCTCTGCCCTACAGCTTTGCAAGGGTGACTGGGAGAAAGCCTTCCTTGTAGTACATCTTATCAGGCTTACCTCAGCCAGTTCGGCACCACGCTGCCCCGCAGGTGGGTCCAGTCTCGGGTGTTACTTCCCACGTTCTGGACCTTTGCCTAAAGGGGAGAGGGTTTGGCATTCTAGATGCCTTTGGGAGCACAGGGCTTACTGTGAAGCCCCATTTCCCTTCCCAAGGGCAGGAAATAGAAATCGTCTGCAGTAAACATTGAATGACAGGAATGATGAAAGGGGACAGTGACTCTTCCCTGAGTAATACATAGCCTTACAGTGAAGCCCGCGTTCTCCTGGTTGAGATGAATAACCCTTGCTGAGGCTCTGCACCCCATCCCCACCCTCTGGCTGGCCAGGATCTCAGAAGATGCACGCCGATTTTCACCATGGAGGTATAGTAGGTAACTGAGGCACTCAGAGCCTTTTGGGACTCCCTGTACTGTACCTGAGACCAGGGCTAAGAGCAAGTGTCCTCTGATCCTTCTGTCTGCCCCACCATGTAGGTTTCAGTCCCCCCTTGGCCTTCATATACAGTCTCATGATGGGAGTCAGCCACACAGATGGGCCGCACCACCCTGCTTGGAACCCAAGGCAGTTTTCCTATATTGCTATTCCCTGAGCATTCTGGTACTGCGCTCCTTTGAGAACCAAAGTGTTACCACATCTGCCAAGTGACAGTTTGAGTGGTGGCCATTTTGCTACCATAATGAAAGACTAAGACAGGCCGCTTACAAAGAGGAGGAGGTTTATGTCCCATCGGTTCAGCTCTGGGGAGGTTCCTCTTGGCTGTGTTGGGTCATGGTAAGAGTTCACGTGGGAAACAGAGATCACATCTCCAAACAGGAAGCCAGAGAGCAAGTTGAGATCAGGCTTGATCTTAAAACCCAGGAGTCTGTCAGGTATGGTGGCACATACCTGTGATCCCAGCACTTGGGAAGCTGAGGCAGGAGGATCACTGCGAGATTGAGACCAAACTGGGCTCTGTAGTGAGTTTGAGGGCAGCGTGAACTACATGGCAAGACCCTGTCTCAAAAGAAAACAAAAACCCAAGAGTCCAGTGAGCACTCAGTCTCTTCCAAAGCTAGCTCCCCCGGTGACCTGAGGACCTGCTACCAGCCTGCACGTGTTAAAGATCCCACCTCAGCATTGTCACACCGAGGGCCATCCTGCCAACAAAGCCTTGGAGGTCAGACCACATCTGAACCGTAGCACGTGTGTTCTCATTTGGTTCTTACAGCATATCTTTGAGAAAGGTCTTTTGGCACTGCAGATGCTTCCTAACTTGCTTAGAGTCTTTGAGTTAACAGAGAAGTGGACAGAGCAGAGTGCACAGCTGCTGCACTTTCACTGATCTTCTTTCCTTTCTTCTCTCTGTGTTTTGCCATCCTCCCAATCCAGGGCATTCAGCACCCACATGTCAAGCCCTGGGACCAAATCTAGCCCAAATCTTATACCTCATTACAGCTGAGCCCGAGGATACCTATAGGCTGGGTGCCTGGCTCTTTTTATTGGCTCATCAAACAAGGCAAAAGGAGGTTCTGATTCCATCAGTCATTGACTTCATTCATTCAGCCCTCAAGTTCAGGAGCCATGGAAGTGACCGAGTTTGATTGAGGGCCTATGAGTACTGTCACCGGTAACTGGGGGTCTCAGTGAGAAGGAGAACAGCATTAATGCTCATCTTCTTCCTTTAGCACACCAAGCCCACTTTTGAAACCCTTGCCATAATGCCACTGTACATAAACAAAATATGCACGCCACATATGCTTTCTTCTCAGACACTCTGAGCATCCCAGTTTAGGAAAAAGGAGAAAAAAATTGCTGACCTGGGCCTGGTGGTACATGCCTGAAACAGGGCTTATTCAGGGCAGGACTGTTGAGATAGGGCAGGAAAAGAACCAAGAGGGGTGGTGCATGCATTCAGGGGGCTGAGGTAGGAGATCGCAAGTTTCCGCCCAGCCTGGACTGTGTAGTGCAGTGGTGGTAAATCTATGGCACGCATGTTGTATTTTGCTTTTAAGACAAAAAATGTTAATGTATGAATTTTTATTTAATTTTATTGTCTTTGAGACAGGGTCTCACTATGCAGTTCAAGCTGACCTTGAACTCACTTTGTAGCCCAGGCTGACCTCGTACTCGCAATGATCCTCCTGCCTCAGCCTCCTGAGTGCTGGGATTACAGGCGTGTGCCGCCTGCCTGGTGAATTTTTTTAGAGTAAGACCTTAGTATTCAGGCTTAATTGCAGTCTTAGCACTTTGCCAGAAATAAGCTGGTTTGGGGTTCCAGTTCAGGCATTCAGCTCCATCACTGGCATAGTAAATTCAAGGCCCACCTAGAGAGAGAGAAAAGAATAAAATAAACAGAGCAAGGTAGACCTTTGTGTAAAACTAGGTTCAAATCGCAGTATAGCATGGGCATGTAGACATTTAAAGCCAAGGAGCCAGGTTGGGGTCGGTAGGTTGAAAGTGATGTCAGGCATAAGGGACGTTCTGGCTACACTGACCTAACAGGATTCTTCCTGAGGGCTGGCTGTGTGATCAGACACCACCAGGGGGATGCTCAGGGGTGAGCAGATATTAAGGACCGTTGGAGGCTGAGTTAGTCCCTCCGAGAACAATTCTGAAAGAGCCCCTCCTTGCTATTCTTTCCTGTCAGTGCCCGTCAGACCTCACTAGGATCCAGAGTGTGACTGCAGCAGAGGGGTTGTGGGCACTATGAAAAAAATCCACCCATGTTAAACTCAAATGCGGACCTTACCCAGGACCACTGGGACAGTCGTAGGAGTAGGGCAAGTCGTAAGAGATTGGGTTCAGCAGGGGAAATTGAGAATTTATATGAAGAACAAGGGCAGAACCACTCGGCAGAAAAGGACTGAGTGGCTGAGGATGTAGCTCAGTGGCACAGTGCCTGTCTGGCAAGCACAAGGTCCTGAGTTCGATGCCCAGAAAGAAAAAAAGAAGAAAAAGAAAAAGAAAAGGACTGACAGTTGAAAAAAGTACATTACTCAGTCCAATTAGAGCCGGGCATGGTGGCGCACGCCTGTAATCCCAGCACTCGGGAGGCTGAGGCAGGAAGATTGTTGCGAGTTTGAGGCCAGCCTGGGCTACACAGTGAGCTCAAGGCCAGCCTGGACTGCATAATGAGATCCTGTCTCAAAAAAAAAAAAGATAAGAATCTGCCAGGTACCATACCACATGCCTGTAACCCTGGCACTTGGGAAGCCAAGGCAAGTAGATCGAAGGTTTGAATCCCTCCCGAGCAACTTCAGACTCTGTCTCAAAATTTAAAAGTGGGGAGGGGAGGGCTGGGAATGTAGATCACTGTGAAAGCCCTGGGATCAGTCCCCATTATTGCAAAAAATAAAAAGACAAGACTGTTGATTTCCCCAGCCTCACCTTTCATGTGCGTCATTACCCGCCCCCAGACTTGCTTCCTTACCTCTGAATTGGGGTGGGGGACCATAGTGCCTTGAGGGCTCAGTGACTCGAAGTCAGTGTAGCTGCTATTTATTATTCTTATTAGTCATTGTCATTGTTAGTGAGGAGGTAGTGGAGAAGGCCAGATCTGGCGCCAGCCCTCTGGTCACTGGGAAACCTGGCCCCCGGACCCTCATTAAACGGGAAGGAATCAGAGCCCTGCGTGAAGGGCCTTTATGACTCATGCTGCATAGGCGGTAGCTGGGCTGCCTCCTGGCGACAAGCTCCTGGCGGCGGGGCTTGTTTGTGTGATCCCGAGAGGAAGGAAGTTGGGGGAGGGGTGGTGATGTTGATGATCCTGGTCTGGCTTCTTTCACCCCCGCAGACGCTACAGTGTTTTCTATATGGGGCCTACCTGGGAGAGGCGTCCAGGACTCTCCGGCTCAGCCTCCCTGAGCCAGGCTTTCCAGTGACATCAGGCGCCTTCTGTGCCGTGCCACGTGGGAGGGGCGCTCAGCTGTGCACATCCTGCTGCTGGGAGTCAGTGCGGATAGTGTGGCCTGCACTCTCCTGTCTCCCGGCAACCTCTGTAGACACCTTTGACTCAGAAGTTGAGTGGAAAGACTTCCTCTGAGACAAGGCCATCAGCTTAGAGTGTCCAAGGGAAGACGGGAAGAAGTCCAGACCTAGCCAGGAGGACAGGCCGAGAGGGACGGGTCAGGATGGAGACTGAGTCTCCAGTGAAGCTGCTCACATACCTGTGTTGTGGGCAGGGCGCATCAGAATCTTCCAGGGCTGCGGTCCTGGCTCCATCTGTTTTGACCTCCCCTACGTGATACTGATAGGCACTTGGGCATGTCATGTGCAAGGGACATTCTGGCTAAGCTCAGGCCCAACTCGGGTTTCTTCCCCACTTTTTCAAACGACAGTCCTCGGTGGG